AGTGAGGTACCATTTCGATGTTCACTAGTAGTAGTAGTAGTGGTAGTGACAAAAGTAATACAATATGGTAGAGCAATTAATTCGTACATGAGTAAAAGGATATAAAAGCTATTACTTGGGTAACATAAAAATAGGTTGGACAATGGCTTGATAAAGCTCCTGGAGAGCGAAACGTTGCCACAATAAATGTCACATTAGTTGCACTTGTGTCCTTTTACTTTACACAACGTGATACCTAATTTTTTTTTAACTCGTTTCATACCCTCATCGCCTTACTCTTATCTATGTTCACTTTCAACTTTCTTCCTTTACACAACCTCCCAAACTCCTCCACTAACCTTTGCAACTTCTCTTTAGAATCTCACAAAAGCACTATCATCAGCAAAAAGTAACCATAAACTCCCATTTTGCATTCAATTCCCCATAATTTAATCCTACCCCTCTCTCCAACACTAGCATTTACTTCTTTTACAACCCCATCTATAAATATGTTAAACCACCATGGTGACATTACACATCCCTGTCTATGACCTACCTTTACTAGAAAGTAATCTCCCTCTCTCCTACACACTAACCTGAGCCTCACTATCCTCATAAATCTCTTTACAGCATTTAGTAACTTACTACCTATTCTATACACTTGCAACATCTGCCACATTGCTCCCCTATCCACCCTAACATATGCCTTTTCCTAAATCCATAAATGCAATGAAAATTTCCCTATCTTTACCTAAATATTATCCACTTATATGCTTCAATGTAAAGACTTGGTCTACAGATCCCCTACCCATTCTAATGCCTCCTTGTTCATCTGCAATCTTGCTCTGTCTTACTTCTAATTCTTTCAATAACAACCCTACCATGCACTTTACCTGATATATTCAGTAAACTTATTCCCCTATAATTTTTACACTTTTGTCCCCTTTCCTTTGTATAAAGGAACTATACACACACACTGCCAATCCCTAGTTACCTTCTCCTCTTTCATACATTAATTGAACAAAAGTACTAACCACTCCAAAACTACATCCCCACCTGCTTTTAACATTTCTGTCATGATCCCATGAGTTCCAGCCAATTTACCTTTCTTCATTCTACCCAATGCCTCACACACCTCTCACACATATCCAGCTCTTCTTCACTCCTAAAAGATGTTATACCTCCCTGGCGAATGCATGAAATTACTGCCTCCCTCTTCAGCAACACTTAACAGTTCCTCAAAATATTCCCACCATCTTCCCAGTACCTCAAACTCCCCATCTACTAATTCTATTCTATTTTTAACTGTCAAGTCCATCTGCTACCTAGGCTTTCTTAACTTGTTTCACTCCAAAACTTTCTTATTCTCAGCAAAATTTGTTGACAGCACCTCACTATCATTTGCTCTCTTTGTGTACTCCCTCACCACCCTTCATCTCTTTTACTCTCCATATACATACTCCACCCTTCTTATATCACTTCTGCTTTGAAAAAAGCTCTCATAAGCAGCCTTTTACCCCTTTATCACTCCCTTTACCTCATCATCTCCTGCCATACGGTTTATAAGCTGCTTCTCCGCTCATCTGCAGTATTCTACTCAAGATTGATGGACTGAACACATCGACTCAAGGTTGAGGGACTGATTACCTCATTCTCCTCCTGTTCTTCAAGTTTCTCCTATGTATGGACTGATGAAGCCACTGTGTGGCGAAACGTTTCCTCAATAAAGATACCCAAGAGTTGCACATGTGTCTAATTTATCAACATGTCGGTTCTCTGAACCATGCATCTACACCTCATCATTCCACCAATCATCTAAAACAAGCATCCAACCACTAAGGATCATATAATGCAAAGGTGGCTTAAGCTGTTTGTTAAGGTCTTACAGAAACTGAAGGCAAGATTATCATCATAGTTGATGTAAAGGTTAGTTTCTGTGTGAAAGTCAAAGTGTCAAAGGTAACTTTAGGAGAGGACAGGTAAAATGAGTTTGTCAGAAAGAGGAATGTCAAAAACAAATGCTTCATGCTCTGACAGTCAGACAGTATATTTATATATTCTTGACTAAAAAAGCTACCTCACAGTCCTGAGAGAGGTAGAGAGAGAGGTAGAGAGAGGTAGGTAGAGAGAGAGGCTCTATGCTATGTCTCCTCAATGATTACCTTCATGGTAGATCTCTAAGTGTAGTTCTCAATGGAACGGAATCAGCAAGACATCCTATTGGGGCAAGTGTTCCACAAGGAAGCGTGCTGGGATCATTGTTATGGAATGTCTACTTCAACGACCTTCTTCATCTCATCCCAGAATCGCATGCATATGCAGACAACTGTACACTGACATTCACTTATCCAAGAGAAGAAATGCCAGCTGCTCTAAGCTACATCAATCACCAGCTGAGAGCTATATCAGCTTGGGGAAATAGATGGCAAGTAACATTTGCACCTGAGAAAACGCAAATGATGATCGTCTCTAGGCACCATGATGGTAATGCTGGTGCAGTAGTAAGGATGAATGGGAGGGTGTTGGCACCTGGAGAAGAAGTTGATATCCTTGGGGTGAAATTTGACTTCAAACTAACCATGAAGAACCATGTTGTAAATCTTGCAAACAAGGCAGCCAGGAAGCTTACAGCACTTCGCCGTATCTCCCATCTGCTTGACAGTAGGGGTTGCAAGATCCTGTACGAGGCACAAGTACACTCACACCTTGAGTATGCTCCACTTTCTTGGTTTGCCTGCCCCCCCCCCTCTCATCTGCGACTGCTTGACAGAGTAGAGAACAGAGCAAGACGTCTCATCTCTCGCCTGGACCCATCCTGGATAGATCTGTCATTTCAGCAGAGCCTTCAACATAGGAGGGATGTGGGTGGCCTTACTGTTATGTACAAGGCCAATATTGTCAAAATACCACACTTGGATCCACTTCGAGGACAGCGTGAAACAAGCTTCTATGCCACAAGACAGGCAGAAAGCAGCAACTTCACTCTGGCTGTACCCTTCTCCAGAACATCACTCCATCTGAGATCATACATATCCAGGATGACTCAAGTATGGAACACATTCGTACAGCATAATGATGTCGAGATAAAGTCAGCTGATCAAATGAAAATGCTGGTCCACAGATGGCTCCAACTTCATCCTGTTCCCTACTTGTATGTCTCATAACAATAAAAATGCTTTCAAATGAGCTGATGTAGGTAACAGCTCTTAGCTTGCCAATGAAGTTAGGAATCCTTAACCTGTAAATAGCTTGTCAATAAAGCTAGGGATCCTTAACCTTGTCAAACCCTGTGTAAAAAAAAAAAAAAAAAAAAAAAAAAAAAAAAAAAAAAAAAAAAAAAAAAAAAAAAAAAAAAAGAGAGAGAGAGGTAGAGAGAGAAGAGAGTAGAGAGAGGTAGAGAGAGAGGTAGGAGAGAGAGAGAGGGTAGAGAGAGGAAGAGGTAGAGAGAAGGTAGAGAGAGAGAGAGGTAGAGGAAGAGGTAGAGAGAGAGAGAGAGAGAGAGAGAGAGAGAGAGGTAGAGAGAGAGAGAGGTAGAGAGAGAGAGGTAGAGAGAGAGAGAGGTAGAGAGAGAGAGAGGTAGAGAGAGAGAGAGGTAGAGAGAGAGGAGAGAGAGAGAGAGGAGAGAGAGAGAGAGAGAGAGAGAGAGAGAGGTAGAGAGAGAGAGAGGTAGAGAGAGAGAGAGAGGTAGAGAGAGAGAGAGGTAGAGAGAGAGAGGTAGAGAGAGAGAGGTAGAGAGAGAGGAGGAGAGAGAGGAGAGAGAGAGAGAGAGAGAGAGAGAGAGAGAGAGAAGAGAGAGAAGTAGGTAGAGTAGAGAGAGAGAGTAGAGAGTAGAGAGGAGGTAGAGAGAGAGAGGAGGAGAGAGAGAGAGAGAGAGAGAGAGAGAGAGAGAGAGAGAGAGAGAGAGAGAGAGAGAGAGAGGTAGAGGTGCCAGGTGTCTTTCCATAGGGCAAGTTGTGTGGAGCCAATTCATAAATATGCACACATAGTATCCCATGTCCAACAGTGATGGGAAGATGGCCAAGAGCCCAACTCCAGTTCGATGCAACAATTTGCCGTCTTTTGAGATTATCACTGCTGCTATCAGTTTCAGAGTCTTTGGAACAGATCTGGAAAATAGTCTGATAAAAGGACTCTCCTGTAGGAGACTGGCAGATTATGATCAGCAAGTTATACAGCTAATGTCATGCTTATTACCCTGAACGTCAATGTATCCAGGTACCCTGCAAAAAAACATTTACCTCTATACTTCCTATAAATTTGAAGTGGAAAGGGTGAATAACAGACTTTGGCTGTAGGGATTTCTCCAGGCAGGAGAAAAATATAAAAGATGGGGGGGGGGGGGGGAGAAGGAAGACTGGTGGACTACCAGTATCTGACAGCACAGATTAAGGAGAGGGTTGTGATGATTAAAAATACTATCATAATTATTACATTTACGTGAAAAGTGCCAAATAAGTGTGATAAAATGCCTATGGAATGGTAAGGCAAGGAGTTTAACAAATTTTATTCAAGGAAGGGTAGCTAATTCCTTGGATTGAGAGCCCTTTACCAGAATGAAGACAATTTGGCAGAGATCTGATATAAGGCTTCGCCATACAACATGCCCTCTTTCCTTTAAGCAGGAAGCCTCACTTTCCTGCATATACACAGGGCACAAGTAATAATAATAATGTAATCAATGTAAGTACTAAATTTACCCAGAAGGGTCTGGAAGGGAAAGAGGAAACCAAAGTAGAAATAGGAGGGATGGTGTCCTGAACAATTAAGGCAACAAGGTGTGGATAGTTTGCATGAGCAATTATGATGATTGAAGTGGCATTGCAGATAAGGCATTCTGTAGGGACATGCTGAACTTCAGAGGATGCTTCAAATACCAAAAATTAGAGCAGTGACAGTTGTATGGTAATCCTGCAACTGATAACTGGTGACTAGCTAAAGAAACTGTAAAGATGCCCAAAAGATCAGTTTTGTAATTCTGCTGGAATGTTGAGAAATAAGTACAAGAAATAAAACAAAACACATTATAGAAAGTAAGCAGTATTATTAGAAAAAAATGTACTGTAATCAAAGACCAAAATGTAAAGGAAGATTTTACATTGCCCACAAATCAGTGGAAAATAATTTCTTATATGGTTAAGTATATATGCTTTTTTTTTTTTTAAGGCTTAATGCAAACAGAACGTGAATATTACCCTTGCAACACTTGTACATATAGTTATTTGCCAATTATTCATTGTGTACTTCATGAAATAAGGATAGTGCATCAAGGTCATTAAGCATGAATTACCACTGGGAGACAAATTACAATATTTTAATGAAAGGGATTAGATTCCGAAGAATTCAACAGCTTTCTTTTTACCTTCCCAACACATTCATTCCCACTGATATTCTTAAGGTAAAATATCTGTGCTGTACATAAATGGCTTAGTTTTCCCAAAAAAAATTTGTGGCCCCATATCCACTAGAAGTATGGGGTCTTTGGAAACACTGTCCCTAGCTTCCCTTATTTCTCTCATAAATATCTTCCTGTTAGCAATTTTAGTTGGGGTTCTTGTGGTATACAAGCCTCAGAGGCAGCACAAGATACTGTACCAACATGTTTACTGTTTTCTTCTGTAGTTTTCAAATTAACAAGTACACATCTACCCAGCACATATTTCTAACACATCTACGAATTGTTCTAAAAGAATCTGCATTGATCAAGACTTTCCATAAAATTTCATGAGACTGAGTGGAAATATCTTTATATTAATGCAACAATAGCTACACAGTTTTCTGTGTTACTTGTTAACATCATGCCTATCACAAACTTTTGGACATTTAAATGTTTACTAGTAAAAAAGCCTTTGCTTTAAGGTACGAAATAAAATTGTAACAGTACATTATTCACAAAAAGTCTTCCAGTTTGACAGTTTCAACCAAATAAAATAGTCTGACAAAAATAGCTCCTTAAATCTCAAATTTTAGCACTGCACTGAAGGACAACTCAACCACTTATGCATCAAGCTCAGCCAAATGACTGGAAAATAGTCTACCAAGTTGTCAACTTGCCAGACTGCTCAAGGACAGAATAAAAGTATTATTCAGGAGCGAGACTATCGAAACTCATCCAAGGAATAAGAGAAAAAAATATCTACATCTTGCATCATTAAAGCAACAATTGAAATTTTTAAATCTTGTACCGCTGAAAATTTTAGCTATTAGTTTTCATAAACATCAGATGCCTAGCATACCAAAGAGTTAAATGCCAACATAATCTGCATATACACGAGATCTTAAACCTAAATAAAACAAATCTGTCATATATATATATATACATGAACATAGACAAAAATATACTGTAATGCATGGATAACCATTCTAAAACAAATGTTAATCCAGTTAAATTTTATCACATTTATACAGAATGCTATGTATCACAATATTTATGAAAATATTGCTCAAACACTTTTGTACAGTACAAACAAACAGCAAAATTTCAATTTAGAGTTTCCAAATCTCAAAAGCAATCATGATCCATCTGGCTTTTACCAAATAAAGAATTTATTAACTAAGCAGTAATCTTTATACATAATTTGTTTTTTGAAACATTAGCAATAGCTTCATACCTTTTTTTTTATAGATATTAAAACCTAAAACCTTAAAATACAGTGGAACCTCAGTTTTTGTCTTTAATTCACTCCAGAAAGTCTGACGAAAACCGAATTGTACAAAAACTGAAGCAATATTTCCCGTAAGAAATAATGTAAATCGAATTAACCCGTTCCAGACACCCAAAAGTATTAACACAAAAAATACATTTTATTGAGAATAGCTATAGTTTTTTACATACAGAAAACAATGAAATAAATATAAAGGACTAATGAAATGGATAAATGAGCATTTAACACAACTTACCTTTACTGAAGATTCTTGTTGGTGTATTGAAGATGGCAAGGAGGGGAGAGGGAGGAGAGGTTATTGTTTGGAAGGGGAATCCCCTTCCATAAGGACTTCAGGTATTGAAGCCCTATCCAGGGTTACTTCCCTCGTCTTTTACTGGCACTAGGATCAGCTCGAGTCACTGTACCCCTCGCACAAAAAATCTGTCCAGAGAGCTGTTTCTGGCATCTCTAAGATTTGCCTAAAATGGGACAAGGCACTGTCATAGAACATGTTGCAGACACGGCTTGCAACAGTTTTGTTAGGGTGATATTTCTCCACAAGACTTTATAACTCACTCTAGTTTGCACACATGTCTTTAATCACTGAAGGCACATTCTCCCCTCTCTTTTCCACTTCCTCCTCCTCTGAAGCAATTCTACCTTATTTCTCGGAACTTTCTTTGGCCCCATGGTGGCTTATTTAGCAGTCGCACTCAATAAACAAGCACAAAAAGCAATGGATTATTATATATTTCATATGAAAGCACAGGGTAATGTTCACTTGACTAGAAACAAAGCCAGATTGACTCAGAACAATTGCATGGGATGCTTTGTTTGGGTGCGGACAGGCGGACACATTCGGTATGGTGGACGAAAACCGAGGTGATGAACAATAACTGGGACAAAATTTTGACAGTCATCAAAAACCGAATTCGACGAAAACCAGGGCAAACAAAAACCAAGGTTCCACTTTATCTCAAGCTTCATTTGCTCATCCAAATTGCTATTAAAAAAATAAAAAAAAAAGTGTAATCAAATCAAAGCTCTACAAATTCAATCTAATTGAGCAAAACCCTTATAATTTTACCTATAGATGTTTTAACGGTATACAGTACAATAATTCATAAAAAATTATAAAAGTTAGCCAAGGACAAAAATACCCACAAAGTTGCCTGTTTATAAAATTGTAAGAAACCAGCGGCTCCAATATCAATTACCAAGTACTACTTAGCCATTCTTCTGGCTGAGTACGTGGGATTGTCAACTAAAACTTCTAATGAAATTTTATTAAAAAATATAAATAGCCATCAGGCCTAAAGGAAATTTTATTGACTTTCTAACTGCGAAAAATTACCTCATATCACTGCGTGTTTCGACACGACATTGGCTTGATTCCAACCTTTTGAGCAAAGTTAGAGACTAGGGTACCTAAACCAGACTCATTTCGTCCATTGGAGACATTGAATCCTATTGTAGTTACGTAGATATTATAGAAGAGTGCCCGGACCTGGAGAGAGTAAAAAATATTTAGCATAACATTTATGGAGAATGAAAGTCACAGTATCAAAATCTCAAATCAGAAGTAGCCATAACCTTTTGTTTCTCAACCTTCTTTTCTCCCCCTCTCCTCTTATTTTCCACCCTTGTTACTGTTGGCATTCTGGTGCTGGTTTATTTATGAAATAAGCAGTATTGTATACCATCAATAATAGGAAAGAAAATATTACAGGGATTTTAAGAACTATAGTCGACCCTCGATCAAATGGACCCCCAATATAACTGACTAAAAATTATGGGCAAAACTGGACATTTGGACAATCTTCCCTATTAGTCCACTATATTGAGGTTTACTGGATTAAGAATAAAAAAAAATAAAGGTACGAGTACACTGAACATAAGTAGCAGTTTACAAGATTTATTTAGTCATTTTATGTGATCATCTCCCCCTTAAAAAAAAAAAAAAAGGGGGGGGGGGAGACAGCAATCTGCAATCCTGCCAGAGTGCAGGAAATTAACAGGCTTCAGTTTCACATTTGACAGAATGGAAGTACCTTCCTGGATGGTTGCTGTTCATTTTTTTTTTCAAACGAGTTGGCTGTCTCCCACCAAGCAGGGTGACCCACAAAGAAAGAAAATCCCCAAAAAGAAAATACTTTCATCATTCAACACTTTCACCTCACTCATACATAATCACTGTTTTTGCAGAGGCACCCAGATACAACAGTTTAGAAGCATATACATATAAAGATATATAACACATCCCTCCAAACTGCCAATATCCCAAACCCCTCCAGTACTAAAGCCTGGCTATGTAAAAATAACTGGTTTCCCTGAATCAATTCACTAAATATTACCCTGCTCACACTCCAACAGTTTGTCACATCCCAAAAACCATTTGTCTCCATTCACTCCTATCTTAACAAGCTCACGCATGCTTGCTGGAAGACCAAGCCCCTTGCCCACAAAACTTCATTTACCCCTTCTCTTCAACCTTTTCGAGGACAACCCCTACCCAGCCTTCCTTTCCCACAGATTTATATGCTCTCCATGTCATTCTACTTTTCTCCATTCTCTCTAAATGACAAAACCACCTCAACCACCCCTCCTCAGCCCTGTGACTAATACTTTTATTAAACTCCACACCTCCTAATTTCCACACTATGAATTTTCTGCATAATATTTACACCACACATTGCAAAAATTACAGGGGGATAAGTCTGTTGAGTTGTAGGTAGTAGGTTGGTAGACAGCAACCGCCCAGGGAGGTACTACCGTCCTGCCAAGCGAGTGTAAAACGAAAGCCTGTAATTGTTTTACATGATGGTAGGATTGCTGGTGTCTTTTGTCTGTCTCATAAATATGCAAGATTACAGGTAAGTCTTGCTACTTCTACTTACACTTAGGTCACACTACACATACATGTACAAGCATATATATACACACCCCTCTGGGTTTTCTTCTATTTTCTTTCTAATTCTTGTTCTTGTTTATTTCCTCTTATCTCCATGGGGAAGTGGAACAGAATTCTTCCTCTGTAAGCCATGCGTGTCGTAAGAGGCGACTAAAATGCCGGGAGCAAGGGGCTAGTAACCCCTTCTCCTGTATATATTACTAAATTTAAAAGGAGAAACTTCAGTTTTTTCTTTTGGGCCACCCCACCTCAGTGGGATACGGCTGGTACGTTGAAAGAAGAAGAAGTCTGTTGAGTATACCTGGTAAAGTGTATGGTAGAGTTATTATTGAAAGAATTAAGAGTAAGACGGAGAATAGGATAGCAGATGAACAAAGAGGCTTCAGGAAAGGTAGGGGGTGTGTGGACCAGATCTTTACAGTGAAACATATAAGTGAACAGTATTTAGATAAGGCTAAAGAGGTTTTTGTGGCATTTATGGATTTGGAAAAGGTGTATGACAGGGTGGATAGGGGGGCAATGTGGCAGATGTTACAGGTGTATGGTGTAGGAGGTAGGTTACTGAAAGCATTGAAGAGTTTTTATGAGGATAGTGAGGCTCAAGTTAGAGTATGTAGGAAAGAGGGAGATTATTTCCCAGTAAAAGTAGGCCTTAGACAAGGATGTGTGATGTCACCGTGGTTGTTTAATATAGTATTTATAGATGGGGTTGTAAGAGAAGTAAATGCGAGGGTCTTGGCAAGAGGCGTGGAGTTAAAAGATAAAGACTCACACAAAGTGGAAGGAGAAAAGAGAATATGAATGTGTAAATTCAAGAATTATGTGGATTAAAGTAAAGGTTGGATGCAAAAAGTGGGTCATAATAAGCATGTATGCACCTGGAGAAGAGAGGAATGCAGAGGAGAGAGAGAGATTTTTTGGGAGATGTAAAGTGAATATATAGGAACCTTTGAACCAAGTAAGAGTAATTGTGGTAGGGGACCTGAATGCTAAAGTAGGAGAAACTTTTAGAGAGGGTGTGGTAGGTAAGTTTGGGGTGCCAGGTGTAAATGATAATGGGAGCCCTTTGATTGAACTTTGTATAGAAAGGGGTTTAGTTATAGGTAATACATATTTTAAGAAAAAAAGGATAAATAAGTATACAAGATATGATGTAGGGCGAAATGACAGTAGTTTGTTGGATTATGTGTTGGTAGATAAAAGACTGTTGAGCAGACTTCAGGATGTACATGTTTATAGAGGGGCCACAGATATATCAGATCACTTCTTAGTTGTAGCTACACAGAGTAAAAGGTAGATGGGATACAAGAATAGAAGCATCAGGGAAGAGAGAAGTGAAGGTTTATAAACTAAAAGTGGAGGCAGTTAGGGTAAGATATAAACAGCTATTGGAGGATAGATGGGCTAATGAGAGCATAGGCAATGGGGTCGAAGAGGTATGGGGTAGGTTTAAAAATGTAGTGTCAGAGTGTTCAGCAGAAGTTTGTGGTTACAGGAAAGTGGGTGCGGGTGGGAAGAGGAGCGATTGGTGGAATGATGATGTAAAGAGTAGTAAGGGAGAAAAAGTTAGCATATGAGAAGTTTTTACAAAGTAGAAGTGATGCAAGGAGGGAAGAGTATATGGAGAAAAAGAGAGAGGTTAAGAGAGTGGTGAAGCAATGTAAAAAGAGAACAAATGAGAGAGTGGGTGAGATATTATCAACAAATTTTGTTGAAAATAAGAAAGTTTTGGAGTGAGATTAACAGGTTAAGGAAGCCTAGAGAACAAATGGATTTGTCAGTTAAAAATAGGAGAGGAGAGTTATTAAATGGAGAGTCAGAAGTATTGGGAAGATGGAAGGAATATTTTGAGGAATTGTTAAATGTTGATGAAGATAGGGAAGCTGTGATTTCATGTATAGGGCAAGGAGGAATAACATCTTGTAGGAGTGAGGAAGAGCCAGTTGTGAGTATGGGGGAAGTTCGTGAGGCAGTAGGTAAAATGAATGGGGGTAACGCAGCCGGGATTGATGGGATAAAGATAGAAATGTTAAAAGCAGGTGGGGATATAGTTTTGGAGTGGTTGATGCAATTATTTAATAAATGTATGGAAGAGGGTAAGTTACCTAGGGATTGGCAGAGAGCATGCATAATTCCTTTGTATAAAGACAAAGGGGACAAAAGAGTGCAAAAATTATAGGGGGATAAGTCTGTTGAGTGTAGGTAGTAGGTTGGTAGACAGCAACCGCCCAGGGAGGTACTACCGTCCTGCCAAGCGAGTGTAAAATGAAAGCCTGTAATTGTTTTACATGATGGTAGGATTGCTGGTGTCTTCTGTCTCATAAACATGCAAGATTTCAGGTACATCTTCCTACTTCTACTTACACTTAAGTCACACTACACATACATGTACAAGCATATATATATACACACCCCTTTGGGTTTTCTTTTATTTTCTTTCTAGTTCTTGTTCTTGTTTATTTCCTCTTACCTCCATGGGGAAGTGGAACAGAATTCTTCCTCTGTAAGCCATGCGTGTTGTAAGAGGCGACTAAAATGCCGGGAGCAAGGGGCTAGTAACCCCTTCTCCTGTATACATTACTAAATGTAAAAGGAGAAACTTTCGCTTTTCCTTTTGGGTCACCCTGCCTCAGTGGGATACGGCCGGTGTGTTGAAAGAAAGAAGTCTGTTGAGTATACCTGGTAAAGTGTATGGTAGAGTTATTATTGAAAGAATTAAGAGTAAGACGGAGAATAGGATAGCAGATGAACAAGGAGGCTTTAGGAAAGGTAGGGGGTGTGTGGACCAAATGTTTACAGTGAAACATATTAGTGAACAGTATTTAGATAAGGCTAAAGAGGTTTTTGTGGCATTTATGGATTTGGAAAAGGCGTATGACAGGGTGGATAGGGGCAATGTGGCAGATGTTGCAGGTGTATGGTGTAGGAGGTAGGTTACTGAAAGCAGTGAAGAGTTTTTACGAGGATAGTGAGGATCAAGTTAGAGTATGTAGGAAAGAGGGAGATTATTTCCCAGTAAAAGTAGGCCTTAGACAAGGATGTGTGATGTCACCGTGGTTGTTTAATATATTTATAGATGGGGTTGTAAGAGAAGTAAATGCGAGGGTCTTGGCAAGAGGCGTGGAGTTAAAAGATAAAGAATCACACAAAGTGGGAGCTGTCACAGTTGCTCTTTGCTGATGACACTGTGCTCTTGGGAGATTCTGAAAAGTTGCAGAGGTTGGTGGATGAATTTGGTAGGGTATGCAAAAGAAGAAAATTAAAAGTGAATACAGGAAAGAGTAAGGCTATGAGGATAACAAAAAGATTAGGTGATGAAAGATTGGATATCAGATTGGAGGGAGAGAGTATGGAGGAGGTGAATGTATTCAGATATTTGGGAGTGGACGTGTCAGCGGATGGGTCTATGAAAGATGAGGTGAATCATAGAATTGATGAGGGGAAAAGGGTGAGCAGTGCACTTAGGAGTCTGTGGAGACAAAGAACTTTGTCCTTGGAGGCAAAGAGGGGAATGTATGAGAGTATAGTTTTACCAACGCTCTTATATGGGTGTGAAGCATGGGTGATGAATGTTGCAGCGAGGAGAAGGCTGGAGGCAGTGGAGATGTCATGTCTGAGGGCAATGTGTGGTGTGAATATAAGAACATAAGAATGTAGGAACACTGCAGAAGGCCTACTGGCCCATGCGAGGCAGGTCCTTATCAAAACGACCTCTACCTAAAGCTACCCAAGAAATAACTCCCGTACCCAATGACACCAATCAAACCCAGCCCCTCCCACTCATATATTTGTCCAGTCTCTTCTTAAAGCTACCCAAGGTCCTAGCCTCTATCACCCCACTGGTTCGACACCCTCAGTACTTTATTAATATCTCCCTTGTCATCCACTTACACACTTCAATGATATCTCCCCTCATTCTACGCCTCTCCAGAGAGTGGAGATTTTAGGCTTTAAGTCGATCTTCATACGGGAGGTTCCTTACACAGTAAATCATTTTAGTCATTCTTCTCTATATGTTCTCTAATGAGTCTATATCCATCCTGTAGTAAGGGGACCAAAACTGAGCAGCATAATCTAAATGAGGCCTCACTTGTGAGGCAGAGAATTCATAGTTTGGAAGTTAGGAGGAGGTGCGGGATTACCAAAACTGTTGTCCAGAGGGCTGAGGAAGGGTTGTTGAGGTGGTTCGGACATGTAGAGAGAATGGAGCGAAACAGAATGACTTCAAGAGTGTATCAGTCTGTAGTGGAAGGAAGGTGGGGTAGGGGTCGGCCTAGAAAAGGTTGGAGGGAGGGGGTAAAGGAGGTTTTGTGTGCGAGGGGCCTGGACTTCCAGCGGGCATGCGTGAGCATGTTTGATAGGAGTGAATGGAGACTAATGGTTTTTAATACTTGATGTGCTGTTGGAGTGTGAGCAAAGTAACATTTATGAAGGGATTCAGGGAAACTGGCAGGCCGGACTTGAGTCCTGGAGATGGGAAGTACAGTGCCTGCACTCTGAAGGAGGGGTGTTAATGTTGCAGTTTAAAAACTGTAGTGTAAAGCACCCTTCTGGCAAGACAGTGATGGAGTGAATGATGGTGAAAATTTTTCTTTTTCGGGCCACCCTGCCTTGGTGGGAATCGGCCAGTGTGTTAATATAAAATAATAGTAAAATACATTGCCCTTAGACAGGATATCTCCATTGCCTCCAACTGCCTCCTCGCTGCAGCATTTACAACCCAAGCTTCACACCCATATAAGAGTTGGTACCACTATACTTTCATACATTCCCTTCTTCGCCTCCATAGATAACGTTTTTAGTCTCCATGTATATCTTAACGCACCACTCACCTTTTTTTCCTTCATCAATTCTATGGTTAACCTCATCCTTCATAAACCCATCCACTGACATGTCAACTCCCAAATATCTGAAAACATTCACTTCTTCCATACTCCCTCTCTCTAATGTGATATCCAATTTTTCATTTAATACCCTCATCACCTTACTCTTATCTATGTCCACTTTCAACTTTCTACCTTTACACACCCTCCAAAACTCGTCCACTAACCTTTGCAACTTTTCTTTAGAATCTCCTATAAGCACAGTATCATCAGCAAAAAGTAACTGTCAACTCCCATTTTGTATTTGATTTCCCATACAAACCCTTTTATATGGGTGGGAATTGTGAGCTTAAAATAGGGCAGAGAGGAGGATGGAGGCAGCAGAAATGTTATGGTTGACACCAATGTGTGGTAGGAATTTTAATTCAAAGAATTCAGAGCTTAGAAATTAATACACAGTGTGGGGGTTGCAAAAGGTATTACAGTATTCAAAAAACAGAGGTAGCTGAAGTAGTGTGGGCACAGACAGGATGGCCAAGATGTGAAATCAGTCTTCTATCTAGACTGCTACTGAATGAATGCTTGTGCATGTTTTTTTTTTTTTTTTTTTTTTTTTTTTGTGAGGGGGGATTTAACCTGGCAGGAGACATTCAATGTGTATGAAGAACATTTAATTCCCCCCAAAATTCCCAAAACATTTCTGAAGTTCCCAATAAGCCTATTGGGAAAAGTCTTTAAAACAAGTGCTGAACTTACTATCTTGTATTTACAATTTGGGCAATTCTCTCATTCTGAACTTGCTTGCTAGATTCAGTCTTCCACAAATTTACCATCCTGCTGACATGCTGTTTTTAATCTGGTTCAGTTTATTCCACCAACTATAATTTATCATACAAACCCTCACCATTATTTACTGGTTGATTTGTGGAATTCATGTCTTGCATGCCCTCGTGCAAACTGATATGGAAAATCTTCACTTAAATAACCAGCTGCTACTAGCACGAAAGCTTAAAATTACAAAAAATTTAATATCATTACCTTCGCAAGTCTCTCAGCTCTGTTAAAGACTATAATGCTCTGCTCTGACTCCAAGCTTCCCTCCTCCTCCTTTATGGTTGTTGCAGAATCCAGCAAATCTGATGAAGGTCTAGAGCAAATGAAAATTACAATTAGATATTCTGAAAAAATGACATTACCAAGTAACTTCTTATAATTAAAGAATGTATGACCCATAAAGGTCATACAGTTTTTGGGGAGTTGTTTATGTTTAATCAGGTACTGTGCCTGTACTTAATGATCCACTAACGATACATTCATAGATTATAGACCTGTTTTATACTGAAGCTTCCTAAAACAGGCTAAAGATGATACAACTCTCAGATAGTTAATGATGGTCTTTCAGAGTAGACATTATCTCTTTACCAACAGGAGCATACCACACAATTTCAAAACATTCACCTTTCAACATCCCTTGTTGACCACATTACCATTAAAACTGACTAAAAACATCCAGAAAAGGAGAAGATTCCCTATCAATAAGCAAGTAAATTCCCAACCCAGGTGGTCAAGAAGTTAAATAAATCAGAAAATAATCAAAATCAGCATACATCACACTACAGTATAAAGGTTTCAAGACATCTCATTAACCAGCATGCAAAAAAAATAGTATATTTATAGAAATAATGGAAAAACTAAGTCATTAATAACAAACTAACAATTAAGAATTTGCTTAAAAATATACAATTGTAGGATTCAAGCACAAGGGCATGAAAAAATTAAATGTAATCTGCTTACACAGAGGTTCGAGAGCTGCGAGAATTGGCAGAACCAGGGTTACAGATTGACCCAGTTGATCCACGAAGACTGCCTGTTCCAGAGATAAGCTGCCAACTTCCAACCGAACTAACAGATTCTTGCCTTGTCCGTGGTGCTGGTCGCCCGCGGGGAACAGGAACAGCCATGGGACTGGTAGAAGCATGTGGGGGATCCTGACAGCCATTGCCCCATGATCCATGATCTGAACCAGCAACACTATCACCACTAGAATCACTATGCCCATTTCTTGATCTATGTGAACACAAAAGGGGTTTACTTGCATCCAGAAATGAAGCATTTGAACTACCGTTTTTAAATGATCCACCAGATACTCGAGAATGGCTTCCAGCTAGGGCCCCTTGTCTTAATGATAACTTTCCCTCACTTGTGGTCCCTGCTGTATCAGAGTCCCTTAAAGACGATCTACCAAAAGACCCTCTATTGGAAGTTGAAGTTGATGATGCTCTGCTAAGGTTTGGGGACATTTCATCAAAGTCAAGCTCCCCAGTATAGCTTCCATAGGGCCATGTTAAATGAGCATTATAACTATCTGAAGTCTCCCCACTCTTTCCTGCTTTAAAATACACAGGAGGAGCATGATGAGAAGATCGATTTGACGAGCATGATGAATTCAGGGAATTGGAGGATCCTGCCGAGCTCAACCCATCAGTATCAAGTAGAACACAACAGTCCAATTTCTCTGAACAAGAGCTGTCATTGGACATGTGACGTCTGAAAAGTAGGGGAAGCGGCCATTATTTTTTGACTATGCCTAGATCAATACATCGGTATTAAAACTGTCCCAATCCATGCAGCTGTAGTTAAGGAAAAATGGGAAAGGATAGGAAAATGCTCTGTTACTACTAGACTACCCAGTATGCAATTACTTCCTGAATCATCAAATCTCGTTTCAAACAATATTTAACCACAAACACACACAAGATAGTCAATGTATTTTATATCACAACTAAGGAATCTATTCCTTTGAAGGAGAACATGCATAGCATGATTTGGTTACTGTAAAGTCTCTTCAGGTGAAAAATAAGCACACATAACTTTCCAGTAACCTTGTCTCTGAAGGTCATCACATCAATGTTTTTAAAATAGTTGGAAAGATGCTACAGAAATTAAGTTCTTTAAAGGAAATAATAGTTTCAGAAAGACTAAGGCAAGAGAAAAATAAATTGCTACTAATTTGGTTAATGTCACTTTCATTGAAACAAACAGGTTGAATATCCTGGTCTTAAAATACAAGAAGCATAATTTCAAAAGAATACAAACAGAAGAGTACAATAGGAGAGGTGCTTAAATAGCATTTCCATTCAGTCCCTGCTAATTTGTATTCTACCGAAGAGAAGATTGCTCTTAAAGGTTCATAGAATATACAGAAGATTAGTGCAGAGGATCACTGGCCATTTAACAACAGGAGAAGAGGCATTTTCAGAACTGCAACAAGGAAAGTAAAAAGAGCTCATCTGTAAAAACTGGAACACACACACACGAATTGCCTTAAGACTGCATCTAATGCAGTAGCTCTACAGGATCTTTGCTAAATATACTTTTAGGATTAAATATAAGAACAAAAGTAAAACCTTAGGGAAACAAATTTACAATACAAGACCTTACATTAACAATTATTATTAAATCTGTATAGATCATTTGGCAATAGTTCTGGAAGTTTTAAGGTTACTTTCAAAAGAAGATTTTTATACCCAGCACGTCCAACGGCAAGATACTTAAACAACTGTACAAGTCATCCCAAGAAAATATTTGCAGGATTTATTAAAATCTGATTAGAATTTAAAGAATTTTCATAACAATGACCAAATGCTATCAAGGCAGGATGGCCCAAAAATAAACATTCACCTTCATCTCCCTAGCGGCTTTTCTATAACGGAACAGATATGCTCCAACATTGACCTATCAACCTACAACCTCCCCACCAGCCTCAAGGTAGAAGCACTGCATTACTCATATACAACTGCAAGGGACACATTAATTCATAACTATCATTTTTGTGATGCAACTGTTCACCCACTAAAACAAATGTGAAGTCACCTGCCTCTACTATCTAAATCTTATTCCAATCCCAATCAAATAGGAGTTGCAGAAAGCCTTTAAAGTAAACTGTGAATATTTGTCAATATTAGCTGAAAAGATTCAACTTTTCAAGGATCAAACTTACTTTCGCCCCACACTAAAGTCATCTGAGGTAATGTACTTGAGGAAGTAGAAGCAGAAGAAGAAAATTTCTTCACCTTTACTTAATCGATCCTGAAGATCATGGCCAAATGCCATCCAATCATAGGCAATAGTGAGATAGAGAATCTGGAAAAGTAAAAAAAAAATTATAGGATATTTCAATCCTTAACAGTCCTTAGTTAAGTGCCATTCATCCTTCAAAGCACAAATATTGCAGTGGGGCATTTAAATCTCTGAATACTGGTAGCATACAAATTACAAACATAACTTGGTTGAACTCGCCAAGTTGTGTTTGCAGGGGTCAACTTAACAGTGCAGCATTTCAGTCAAAATTTTAGATACACTAGTCCATCTGTTAACATGCAATCTGTTAGCACATTTTTACGTTAAGAAGGTTGCAAAACTGCACCATATTTTTGGTGAATGCACGGTGTTAATCAGTTTATGAGTGAAGATTCTTTCCCCTCTGTCTTGCAGCAAGTCTATAGGCAAGTACTTTGTCTTACAGGGAAGGCCTCTGTAAAGTACACCCTCCTTCACCTCAGTGCTCTGTTCACGTGTGTTCAATTCCATATTCTGCCTGTGCTAGAGAATCTATTTTCGATCTTTTCATCATCCCATCTCATCTCTGGATAGTAACCATGGCACCCAAGAGAAGTGAGTGATCTTGGATGTGCAAAAAAGCATGAGCATGAAAGTTTATGGTGATTTTAAAAAATCAAGATATGAGCTTATGGGTGGCGAACATGTGAAGGAGACGGCGTGAGCCTATGGCCTGAATGAGGTATCAATTCATACAATTAGGGAGAGTGAAGAAAAGATACGAGCTTGTGCAATAAGTAAACCCAGGTTGTGACCTCCAGAAAAGAATGACACAGGTCAGAACAGCTAAATCAAAAAGTTATTGAATGGATCAGGCAAAAACCCAAGAAAGGTGTACCGCTTAATTTCATCTTAATGATAAAAAAAAAGTGCTCATTTAATACAGGCTGGTTCCCCAGGTTCAAATTTTGCAGTTCTTTCTTCTTTCAACAAACTGACTGTATCCCACCGAAGCAAGGTGGTTCAAAAAGAAAAACAAAAGTAAATTTTGTAGTTGCTTGCATATTAAATTTTTTGTTGAAAATGCTTTTGATGACCACACTGCAAGGAATTTTTCAGCTGAATTACAGGAAATTATTTCTGAGGGTGGATACAAGCCATGGTAAGTATTTAATGCTGACAAAATTAAGTCTATTGGAAGAGTATGCCACTGAGAATTTAAACTTGCATCAGCCAGCAACAGAAAAGCACACAGCAATTCAAAGCAGCTCACTACTTTGTGGTAATGCAGCAGGCAATTTAAAGTTTAAGCCTATATTTATTTATGACTTTAAAATTCCTAGTGCTTTGAAAAGTAGATAAAAGCCACCTTACTAGTTATCTGTAGGTCAAACCAGCCAGCATTGATGACAAGAACTATTTATTGTCTCAGTCATGTTTACCTGTGCAACAAGAACCTTGCATTCAAGGGTCTTTTTACTCTTAATTCCCATACTTGTCCAGAAGTTTTGGTGCATGTATATCCCCGTGTAAAAAGTTTTTACCACCAAATACAACATATTTAATACATATTTAATACAACCAGTGGATTGTGGAATTATTAGGACAATGAAGTGTAATTACACATGAAAAGTGGTGCAAAAACTGGATGCAGCAATGAATGCCAACTCAGACCTTGGAGTGCCACCTTTTGGTATAAATTTAGCATTCCAGACACTGTTAGCTACATCAAATTTGCATGGAACAACATGCCTATCAACATTATTTGCAAGATGGAGACAGTTATGGCCTAGTGGGAATATATTAAAAAGTTTTTCCTTAGTTTAGAGCCAGGTCCAGGAAAATTTTCAACTTACAAGGAGATCCTACTGAAAGATATACTTGGTTCTTAGTCAGGCTAGCACCCTGTGGAGAAATGCACCCTTTCAACATAAGACCCCCTCCTATCTTAATCACAAACCACGTACATCGCATCAGTGCTAATGTGACCCAGCATCGGGAGAGGTGGAAAGAACAATTTGGAGAGGAAGCCTCAGACAACATTTCAGTCCTTCCTTTACCATTATCAAGTCTTAAGTAACATGTCTAGAGGAACAGGCCACCTGACTTGACCCATGATCCGAATGTATATTGCAGCCAAGAAAATATTGAAAACCACCACTTTAAACCCTGAACAGAAAATGCAAAAATACTTGATTGGAGTGCCAATTAAGCCAGTATGTATACAAGAAAAAATTAAACTTGCCTGAGTATGGTCTAATGAAGAGTGAATAAGTCCATCTGCCCAGAGGGAAAGTCTGAGCAGCGAGATGAAGAGTGGAGTGCGGTCCCAGCCAGATATACAGTGGACAAGCATGCCCTGCGTCCCTTCATGTGTGTAGGTTATTAAGAGCTTTAAATAGTTCTGACTTAGTCTCAACAAGTCCCATTTCTGTTATATGAAACATTACAAAATTAGGAAACAATTAATAATTACTCAATTAATATTTCAACCATTCATAGCAGCACCTCACAAAATGCATACACTAGATCATATCCTATACAAGTGGTTCACACTACATATCCTATACAAGATGTTTACACTACAGCAGATCTCATACAAAAAATTTATGATCATTTCCTCCACACTTCCATGAACTATGAATGTGCTCCTTAATCACTGGAAATTACAGACCCTTTTAGCTCTTTTGCTAATATATTTTCTTGTTATTCACAATTAAGGTAAGCCATACTTTTCAAAATTTCCTTTTAAACATTACATACCATAGTTCAGTCATTTCGTCTATTAATATATATTCCTTACAAAACTGCCACTGACAGAAAAGAAGGATGGAGTGCCAGTGGCAAATATAAGCAGCCCACCCTCTTAATAACAGTCAGTATTTCAATGTCATTAAGCCAATCAAACAGGTAACTGTTCATGAGCTGTAAACAGTGATTATCAGACTATTTTTTTGGTGTGCTCAGTGAGTGCCTGCTTTCTTTTTGTCCTTTAAATTTTTTTTAATAGAGTTTATTTTGCATTTCTTTATTGGTTTTGTGGTACACTACAACTGGTTAATTTTTGATAGATAACAATCTAACCTACGTAAAACCTAATTTGTGATGAATCCACTAATGAATGTCTAACGGTAACCGTGATATGCCGTTTATAAACAGTAGGAATTTCAACTGTTTAGGTGATGAGATGAAATAAGAAGGGTGCTACTACTGGACCTACAACCCCTGGAACCTCAAAGTTGATAATGTCAATGCAGAGCTTTTCTAACAGGTTACAGGAAAGTAAATAAAATGAGAATGTTATACATATTACAAACTAGACCTGCCAATTCCATGAGTAAGAAACTTTCATGATTACACATTCATCAGTCTCAAAAACCAGAGAGTTATATCAAACGAAAAGCACCTTTTACTTTTTTTAAACTTTAAAACATCAGAATATTTTGTAAGCTTCAGATACTATAAGCAATATTTCAACTTGTGTTCACACTGTGAATATTCCAATTTTTAAGAAAATGAAGCAACTACCATTCCACAAACCATTTTATCTTTCATGCCTCCACTTACAAGCTTTGAAGTCTCCTTACCCGATAATTATTCCAATCCGAAGCTACTTTGGCTGACATGGTTCTCTCGGGAATGACCAACTGGGCATCAACAAATGGTTGACTCCAGTTGAAGTACAACCCTTCCCCAGTATATCCCAGATCACGAAAGTCTTTAAAGAACTCACAACCAGGATATGGTAATGACAAGATGCTGAAGTCGCTGTATCGGTTTTCTTTGTCCACCTTTTCGGATGATGTCACACTGTAGGAGCAATCTATGTTTAATATAAAAAAATGAATGAAAGAACTAAATACCTTTTTTTTTTTTTTAGCATACACTGAACAATTATCATAACCAGTACATAGTCCAATTAAACTCAATTTAACAAAATTGTGATAAGCCCTAAATTAGAAAATTATTAGTTGTGTGGGACTATGTACTAATTTTGGTCAAGAGAAGAGCTAAATTTTATAGTGTTAAATTTCCTGGGATTGTAACAGATACCCTCATCTTGCAGATAAATTCTAGTAGTATAAAGTGGACCCCCAGATTACGTCATCGGAATACGTAATATTCGGAATAAGTAATGTTTTTTTGTCAAAATATTGGCTGGGTGATCGTCACTGAACTCGGTACGAGTCATTCATCCGCAACGTGTCTGAGCAGCCTCGACACTTCATGTACAGCCAGTGTGCCATTGTTTATCAGCCAGTGAGGATGATCCCACACATTCATACAATATATTTTGTATTATTCCATTCTTTTTAGTGCTTGCAACTGCTAAATAAGCCACCATGGGTCCCAAGAAAGTTCCTAGTGCCAGCCAGCCCTTTGGTAAAGGGCTGAGAGAGAGGGGAGAGTGTGCCTTTTTCAATGATTCTGCAATATGTATACTAAAGCCAGCGATAAAGTGTAGCATTAACAGTGTAGCAAGTTAAGCGATTAATCGATAAAAAAAAAAAGGACAACACGAAAATGAGTCCATTGTTGTTGGACGTATATAGGGCTACTAACACCGCCACCTCTGCTGCCACCTTAACCACCACTATGTAAAGCTTATCTTTCAGTGGCCCTTTTACACCCAACAAACAACACACCACCACTCGTGACATTCTTAATGCCATATTTTGTTCATTCTAGAGTATATATCATGTTTCTATGTTATTAATATTGTTTATGTCGTATTAGATGAATTGTGCTAGATAAATAAGCCGTAGAGCTGATATTAATGTCATACTGAAGGACTATCTTGTCCTGTCTCCCAACACAATTCCTAACATACGCCAGAAACAGACCTCTGAAACACTTTTTTGAGCGACAGGGGTCCAGTGACTCAAGCTGGTCCTAGTGGCATTAAAAAACAAAGGAAGGGGCTTCCCCTTCCAAACAATTGTAAATTCGTCCATCCTCTTCCCTCCTCCTGTCTTCCATACATCATGTCTTCAATAAAGGTAAGTGTGATATTACTGTTTTATTCTTCATGTACCATTGTTTTCTGTGTAGGTAAATGTACATTTCATGTAGAAAACTTTTTAATACTTTTGGGTGTCTGAAATGGATTAATTGGATTTCCATTATTTCTCATGGGGAAAATTAATTCAGAATTCGTCAGATTCAGGTTCAGTCACTGTCTGGAACGAATTAATTACGAAAACTGGGGGTCCACTGTACAAATATTTATTAAGAAATGTTTTCAAGTATCCTCTAGGTACCTCACAGTTTATGATTGTGGTCTCTTGTTCTTCCTGCTCACTATGTTATGTAGTCAGATTCCTCTTGTTTACTGATGAGTGCCACTTTCAGTGTTCAGTATTTTTTTCACAATTTATATTACAGTAGGGTCCCATTGTACGGTACTACTTCGCTAATATGGATATTTCAAATTATGACCAACAAATCATTTATACAATTCCCTGATTCACTACTACAGTGTCCATGTGTCACTCTGTTTACATCCTCCATGAGCTCCGTATCTCTATTATGTCTGGAAACTTTCCAAAATTTTAAGTTTTAATGTTTACTCTGCTAATTGTACTTATGTGTACCTGTACCTAAATAAACTTGCACACAGTGCTGGTATGCATGCAGGTACACATTAAAATCACTAAGTGTCTCACTAGTGTTGACACAATAATAATATTCACTCGGGCATTTTATATGTTACATTTCATTAATAGACATTTTCATTACTCCATCTATGAAATTTTTTTCAAAATTATATAAGAAACACACTACATATATAAACATACTAATACAGTGGTCCCTCGTTTTTCGTAGTTAATCCGTTCCTGGAGTTGCTACTATTATTGAAATCTACGATTTGCGAATCAATTTTCCCCATAAGAAATAATGTAAATACAATTAATCCGTTCCTGACACCCAGAAGTATTAAAACAAAAAATTTTTTTACATGAAATATAGATGTAGTACATAAACAATACAATCGGAAATGATGAATGAAACATTAACAGCATAACACTTACCTTTATTGGAGATTCTTCTTAGTGTATGGGAGACTGGAGGAGGAGATTGGATTGTTTACAGTTTGGAAGGGGAATCCCCTTCCATCAACACCTCAGGTACCAATTGCTTTTCTGAGGTTGCTTCTCTTCTCTGTTTCTTAATGCCACTAGGACCACCTTGAGTCACTGGAGTCATGTCTTGCAAAATAACTGTGGAGAGAGCTCTGTTTCTGGCATCTCTAACACTTCCCTAAAATGGCCCAAGACTGTCACTGTACATGTTGCCAACATGGCTTGCAACAACCTTGTCAGGGTGATGTTTCTCCATAAAGCTTTCCATCTTACCCCACATTGCACAAATCTCTTTAATTTCTGAAGAAGGCACCTTCCATCTCTCTTCCTCCTCCTCTGCAGCAAGATTCTGAGCTGCAATCTGTTGCTGTTCCTGCTGAAGCTCTTGCAGCTCCTCTGTGGTGAGCTCTTCGTTGTGGTCTTCCACCAATTCTTCCACATCCTCCAAACTCACATCCAACCCCATGGAACTCCCCAGTGCCACAATTGATTTAACAACAGACATAGGCTCATCAGGGTCAGTCCCAAACCCTTCAAAATCCCTCTTGTCGACACAATCTGATCACAATTTTCTCCAAGCAGAGTTCGAAGTCCTGGTAGTCACTCCCTCCCAAGCCATACCTGTAAGGGTTATGCAATGGAGGATGCTGAAGTGTTCTCTCCAAAATTTCCTTAGGGTCAAGTGAGTGTCTGTGGTCACAGTCATTTACCTGTGAAACATTGCTTTGGTGTAGAGTTTTTTAAAGTTTGCAATGACCTGCTGGTCCATGGGCTGGAGGAGAGGAGTGGTATTCGGGGGCAAGAACTTTACTGTGATGAACCCAAACTCCTCAAAAATTAGGTCATCCAAGTTTGGAGGATGAGCAGGTGCATTGTCTATTACTAGCAGGCACTTGAGATCCAATTTCTTTTTCAGGAGGTAATTCTTCACACTAGGGCCAAACACTTCATTGAACCACTCGACGAAAATTTCCCTCGTGACCCATGCCTTACTATTAGATTTTCCAAAACACACAATTTACTCTTCATAACATTGTTTTTCCTGAACACTCTGGGATTTTCAGAATGGTACACTAGTAATGGCTTCACTTTGAAATCCCCACTAGCATTAGCACAGAACATAAGCGTCAGCCTGTCTTTCATAGGCTTGTGTCCTGGCATTGCCTTTTCCTCCTGTGTAATGAAGGTCCTCTTTGGCATTTTCTTCCAAAAGAGGCCTGTTTCAACACAACTGAACACTTGTTCAGGTTTCAGTCCTTCACTGTTTATGTACTCCTTGAATTCATGCACATATTTTTCAGCCACCTTGTGGTCCGAACTGGCAGCCTCACCATGCCTTACCACACTGTGTATGCCAGTACGGTTCTTAAATCTCTCAAACCAACCTTTGCTGGCCTTAAATTCACTCACATCACCACTATTTTCAGGCAATTTCTTTACCAGATCGTTGTGCAACTGCCTAGCCTTTTCACAAATAATCGAAGTCATAAGAGTATCTCCTGCTAATTGTTTCTCATTTATTTATTTATTTTTTATTATCACACTGGCCGATTCCCACCAAGGCAGGGTGGCCCGAAAAAGAAAAACTTTCACCATCATTCACTCCATCACTGTCTTGCCAGAAGGGTGCTTTACACTACAGTTTTTAAACTGCAACATTAACACCCCTCCTTCAGAGTGCAGGCACTGTACTTCCCATCTCCAGGACTCAAGTCCGGCCTGCCGGTTTCCCTGAACCCCTTCATAAATGTTACTTTGCTCACACTCCAACAGCACGTCAAGTATTAAAAACCATTTGTCTCCATTCACTCCTATCAAACACGCTCATGCATGCCTGCTGGAAGTCCAAGCCCCTCGCACACAAAACCTCCTTTACCCCCTCCCTCCAACCTTTCCTAGGCCGACCCCTACCCCGCCTTCCTTCCACTACAGACTGATACACTCTTGAAGTTATTCTGTTTCGCTCCATTCTCTCCACATGTCCGAACCACCTCAACAACCCTTCCTCAGCCCTCTGGACAACAGTTTTGGTAATCCCGCACCTCCTCCTAACTTCCAAACTACGAATTCTCTGCATTATATTCACACCACACATTGCTCTCAGACATGACATCTCCACTGCCTCCAGCCTTCTCCTCGCTGCAACATTCATCACCCATGCTTCACACCCATATAAGAGCGTTGGTAAAACTATACTCTTATACATTCCCCTCTTTGCCTCCAAGGACAAAGTTCTTTGTCTCCACAGACTCCTAAGTGCACCACTCACCCTTTTCCCCTCATCAATTCTATGATTCACCTCATCTTTCATAGACCCATCCGCTGACATGCCCACTCCCAAATATCTGAATACATTCACCTCCTCCATACTCTCTCCCTCCAATCTGATATTCAATCTTTCATCACCTAATCTTTTTGTTATCCTCATAACCTTACTCTTTCCTGTATTCACTTTCAATTTTCTTCTTTTGCACACCCTACCAAATTCATCCACCAATCTCTGCAACTTCTCTTCAGAATCTCCCAGAGAAGCTGCAGAGATTGGTGGATGAATTTATTCTCATTTATCCACACCAATAATAACTTCTCAACCTCTTCGAGTACTGGTGATCTCATTTTTGTCAGCATAGTTACCCCCTTTGCAACAAAAGCATCCTTGATTTCCTTTTTCTTGGCCACTATGGAACATATGGTTGTGTAGGGTTTCTTAAACATCCTGGCCAGCTCGGCCGCACTTGTGCCACTTTCATATTGTTCAATGATGTTTTTCTTAAATTCAACCGTATTTCTCACCTTCTTTACCACAGGCTTGGCACTAGGAGCTTTCTTTGGAGCCATGGTAGCTTTAGTACTTGCAAGCACTAAAATGAGTGGAATATTATGAAATATTTCGTAGGAGCACGTGAGGGGACCTTCGCTCACTGGTAAACTATGCCAGACTGGCTGGGTAGGGAGGCCGCCCTGGCTCACACCGTGCGTACGCGTCCCGGACGAACTACTATTCGCGAGTCAACCTATGATAAGTGAGCCCATGTTTATACGAAAATATCCCTATGATTTCTGAAATCTATGATTTCCGAGAACTACGAAAAGCGAGGGACCACTGACAAACTGACAAATACGAAATGTGGTAGCCAGGCAGCTTGTGGGAGTGACGGGAAGAATTCGTTTTCCTTAGTACAACACCAGAGAATCTGTATGTATAGTATAGTAATACTGGGGTTACCATAGAAAAATATTTTTTTCATATGCCTTCACTCCAGGCCAGCATTAAATATTAAGAGAGTAGTCGTCAACAGAGTAAAGTCCGAGGCAGCTACGGTGAAAAGCTCTGTTCCACAAGGCACAGTACTCGCTCCCATCTTGTTCCTCATCCTCATATCCGACATAGTCAAGGATGTCAGCCACAGCACCGTGTCTTCCTTTGCAGATGACACCCGAATCTGCATGACAGTGTCTTCCATTGCAGACACTGCAAAGCTCCAGGCGGACATCAACCAAATCTTTCAGTGGGCTGCAGAAAACAATATGAAGTTCAACGATGAGAAATTTCAATTACTCAGATATGGTAAACATGAGGAAATTAAATCTTCATCAGAGTACAAAACAAATTCTGGCCACAAAATAGAGCGAAACACCAACGTCAAAGACCTGGGAGTGATCATGTCGGAGGATCTCACCTTCAAGGACCATAACATTGCATCAATTGCATCTGCTAGAAAAATGACAGGATGGATAATGAGAACCTTCAAAACTAGGGAGGCCAAGCCCATGATGACACTCTTCAGGTCACTTGTTCTATCTAGGCTGGAATATTGCTGCACACTAACAGCACCTTTCAAGGCAGGTGAAATTGCCGACCTAGAAAATGTACAGAGAACTTTCACGGCGCGCATAACGGAGATAAAACACCTCAATTATTGGGAGCGCTTGAGGTTCCTAAACCTGTATTCCCTGGAACACAGGAGGGAGAGATACATGATTATATACACCTGGAAAATCCTAGAGGGACTAGTACCGAACTTGCACACGAAAATCACTCACTACGAAAGCAAAAGACTTGGCAGATGATGCACCATCCCCCCAATGAAAAGCAGGGGGTCACTAGCACGTTAAGAGACCATACAATAAGTGTCAGGGGCCCGAGACTGTTCAACTGCCTCCCAGCACACATAAGGGGGATTACCAACAGACCCCTGGCAGTCTTCAAGCTGGCACTGGACAAGCACCTAAAGTCAGTTCCGGATCAGCCGGGCTGTGGCTCGTACGTTGGTTTGCGTGCAGCCAGCAGCAACAGCCTGGTTGATCAGGCTCTGATCCACCAGGAGGCCTGGTCACAGACCGGGCCGCGGGGGCGTTGACCCCCGGAACTCTCTCCAGGTAAACTCCAGGTAAACTCATAGCGTCATACGCTCTAAAAATGGGGTGTTGAATGAAAATGGGAGTGTTGCTGTTATTTGTTCTACTACACCAACATGAAGACAACTTTTACACAATGTAAGGTGTTTGTACTGTGACGTAAAAACTTCATAAAAGCATGCATAATGCAAAATGATCATGTATGAATAGAAAGTGGACAGGTCTTGATGCACGTTTGTCTGACCAGCCTCGGCTTACACTAAGTCTGTTTACATTCTCCACGTCTCTCTCATTTATGATGATGATGATAATAGCTGTGATAAGAGAAGTCGTAAGCCTCTTACTTTAAATGCCAAGTTAGAAATAATTAAACTCAGTGAACAATGAATGTCAATGGCAATAAGCATAATAATGATCATGATAATAATAATTATAATAATAGCTCTGAGGTGGTTTAAATCTCTTATATTACATTATTATAGACATTTTCATTAATCCATCTATAATATTTTTTCAAAATTATGTAATAAATATGCTACATATCATAAACAAAATATATACAATTATAGTAAAACAAACATAATTGTGAGCTGTGGTAGCTGGGTGGGCTACCGCACCTGACTTCCTACAATAAATACTACTCACCTCTCGCCCTACATTAGGACTACAAATATTTAAAGGTAAGTTTACTGTATGTGCTTTTTTTTTATGCCCAGATCTATTGCTAACTTAATATAATGATAGTGTGAACTTATCAGGCATTTATATGCATTTGAAAGTGAAAAAAAGGGCAATTCACTTTATGGTGGTAGCCTGGAACCTAACCTGTCATATAAGCGAGCCCCTCCTGTACTTAACTAAGAGCCGCTTTTGTTGCATTTCATTTTTCATTTTAGGAGGCATGTTTTGAAACCAGGTTGCTGCAGCAATGACCTCACAACCATTTACTGATGATAAATGCCTATTTTTTTTGTGGGGGGAGGGGAGTAATTTGGATGCCTCATTCCACTTGTATAGTCCAATACTGGTACAGCATAAAATGGGAACAGTACTTCATCATTAATATATTGCATATGAAGACCATTTTGAAGTTTGCCAGTATAATTAAAAGTTTCTACTTTCTGCAATTATATGATTTTTTGTAAATCTGCAAAAAAAAAAAAGGAAAAGTGATATAAAATACTGCATAAAGAAAATAAATCAAAAACATCTTATCTTTAACAATATTTTAATGCAGTGTTGGCGGGAAAGTCAGAAGGCAAATTTCTCTGGGATATAATATTAAACAACTTATCCTGTGTACTGACCAGAGGTGTAATTACTGCAGTGGAGGCAAATATGATTGGTGTGTGCCTGAAGTAGTTATACAGCTAAGGTCATTGCTATGTTTATGCTTGAGATAGTAGCCACAGCTAAAGTGGTTAACTGCTTCCAAAATACCGATGTCATAAGTGCAAACCTCATAACTCAACCTCATAAATCAAGGCCCTACTGTTAATGTAAAAGATAGGGTGAATCTTTCCGAATCATCAGTGGCAGCATCAGCCAGTCCAGTCAAGACCATTGTTGGATCCTATCCTTTTTTACTTAATCATTAAAAGCAATACCTCTACTGCTTTTTTTACACTTTTACCTTAAGATCATATAGCACTATCAAGGAGTAAACTTTAAAATTATATGAGCGTGTTCACAACCCAGAAATTTAAGGTGAAAACTGGATAATGTGTCTGTCCGTCCTGGATCATGATGGTTCAATGTTTATATTAGTCATGAATTCTTCCAGTCATTTTGCTGTGACATGTTCCTAATAGGGCCTGCTACAAAGGACTTCATGAATACTGTATGGAACACCATGTATGATTTCCAGTAATAAACCATTAAATAAGACCTGCAAGATAATTTTCTTTATAAAAATAATACCCAAATGATTAATTACTCCCCAACCCCCATTTGAGAACTCATTCTGCCATCTCAAAAGTTATTAGTAACAAGTTGTGCATGAATAACCATAATATCTATCTGCCAATACTTACTACATTCCAAACTTCACTTTCTTCTTCTCCACCATAAGGTCAACTATCACACCAACATTACACGCCCTTAATAGTCTGATGTCCTGAGATCTTACGCGGTCAAACAACTGCCAGTCGCTGTTTGTCCGAGTCACCTGAAACACACAGGCCAGCATTAAATATTAAGAAAGTGTCACGCAGAAAAAGAAAAATATATTAAGGATTCTTAGATACTTTGACTTCTAAAATTCATTTTGATGAATAAATCAAATCCTTAATATAAACCCTGATAGAGAGATTTGGTTCCTTAAACAAGTTGATGAGGGCAACATTCAATTAAATGATTTCTGACAATATAAATAAACCAAATACAATCACCCATTATCTGGCAATCTATTACTTGGCATTCACAATTACTCAGCTGTCGTGAAGTTTATTCGGCTCCACCATCATCTGACAGTCATTATTATTATTATCACACTGGCCGATTCCCACCAAGGCAGGGTGGCCCGAAAGAGAAAAACTTTCACCATCATTCACTCCATCACTGTCTTGCCAGAAGGGTGCTTTACACTACAGTTTTTAAACTGCAACATTAACACCCCTCCTTCAGAGTGCAGGCACTGTACTTCCCATCTCCAGGACTCAAGTCAAGCCTGCCAGTTTCCCTGAACCCCTTCATAAATGTTACTTTGCTCACACTCCAACAGCACGTCAAGTATTAAAAACCATTCGTCTCCATTCACTCCTATCAAACACGCTCACGCACGCCTGCTGGAAGTCCAAGCCCCTCGCACACAAAACCTCCTTTACCCCCTCCCTCCAACCTTTCCTAGGCCGACCCCTACCCCGCCTTCCTTCCACTACAGACTGATACACTCTTGAAGTCATTCTGTTTCGCTCCATTCTCTCTACATGTCCGAACCACCTCAACAACCCTTCCTCAGCCCTCTGGACAACAGTTTTGGTAATCCCGCACCTCCTCCTAACTTCCAAACTACGAATTCTCTGCATTATATTCACACCACACATTGCCCTCAGACATGACATCTCCACTGCCTCCAGCCTTCTCCTCGCAACATTCATCACCCATGCTTCACACCCATATAAGTGTGTTGGTAAAACTATACTCTCATACATTCCCCTCTTTGCCTCCAAGGACAAAGTTCTTTGTCTCCACAGACTCCTAAGTGCACCACTCACCCTTTTCCCCTCATCAATTCTATGATTCACCTCATCCTTCATAGACCCATCCGCTGACACGTCCACTCCCAAATATCTGAATACATTCACCTCCTCCATACTCTCTCCCTCCAATCTGATATCCAATCTTTCATCACCTAATATTTTTGTTATCCTCATAACCTTACTCTTTCCTGTATTCACTTTTAATTTTCTTCTTTTGCACACCCTACCAAATTCATCCACCAATCTCTGCAACTTCTCTTCAGAATCTCCCAAGAGCAGTGTCATCAGCAAAGAGCAACTGTGACAACTCCCACTTTATATGTGATTCTTTACCTTTTAACTCCACGCCTCTTGTCAAGACCCTCGCATTTACTTCTCTTACAACCCCATCTATAAATATATTAAACAACCACGGTGACATCACACATCCTTGTCTAAGGCCTACTTTTACTGGGAAATAATTTCCCTCTTTCCTACATACTCTAACTTGAGCCTCACTATCCTCGTAAAAACTCTTCACTGCTTTCAGTAACCTACCTCCTACACCATACACCTGCAACATCTGCCACATTGCCCCCCTATCCACCCTGTCATACGCCTTTCCCAAATCCATAAATGCCACAAAGACCTCTTTAGCCTTATCTAAATACTGTTCACTTATATGTTTCACTGTAAACACCTGGTCCACACACCCCCTACCTTTCCTGAAGCCTCCTTGTTCATGTGCTATCCTATTCTCCGTCTTACTTTTAATTCTTTCAATAATAACTACCATACACTTTACCAGGTATACTCAACAGACTTATCCCCCTATAATTTTTGCACTCTCTTTTGTCCCCTTTGCCTTTATACAAAGGAACTATGCATGCTCTCTGCCAATCCCTAGGTACCTTACCCTCTTCCATACATTAAATAATTGCACCAACCACTCCAAAACTATATCCCCACCTGCTTTTAACATTTCTATCTTTATCCCATCAATCCCGGCTGCTTTACCCCCTTTCATTTTACCTACTGCCTCACGAACTTCCCCCACACTCACAACTGGCTCTTCCTCGCTCCTACAAGATGCTATTCCTCCTTGCCCTATACACGAAATCACAGCTTCCCTATCTTCATCAACATTTAACAATTCCTCAAAATGTTCCCTCCATCTTCCCAATACCTCTAACTCTCCATTTAATAACTCTCCTCTCCTATTTTTAACTGACAAATCCATTTGTTCTCTAGGCTTCCTTAACTTGTTAATCTCACTCCAAAACTTTTTCTAATTTTCAACAAAATTTGTTGATAACATCTCACCCACTCTCTCATTTGCTCTCTTTTTACATTGCTTCACCACTCTTAACCTCTCTCTTTTTCTCCATATACTCTTCCCTCCTTGCATCACTTCCACTTTGTAAAAACTTCTCATATGCTAACTTTTTCTCCCTTACTACTCTCTTTACATCATCATTCCACCAATCGCTCCTCTTCCCTCCCGCACCCACAAACTTCTGCTGAACACTAACACTACATTTTTAAACCTACCCCATACCTCTTCGACCCCATTGCCTATGCTCTCATTAGCCCATCTATCCTCCAATAGCTGTTTATATCTTTCCCTAACTGCCTCCTCTTTTAGTTTATAAACCTTCACCTCTCTCTTCCCTGATGCTTCTATTCTCCTTGTATCCCATCTACCTTTTACTCTGTGTAGCTACAACTAGAAAGTGATCTGATATATCTGTGGCCCCTCTATAAACATGTACATCCTGAAGTCTACTCAACAGTCTTATCTACCAATTACATAATCCAACAAACTACTGTCATTTCGCCCTACATCATATCTTGTATACTTATTTATCCTCTTTTTCTTAAAATATGTATTACCTATAACTAAACCCCTTTCTATACAAAGTTCAATCAAATTTCAAATTTTAACAATGAAGTTTTCAATCTTCTTTTGACTGTGCGAGACACTAAATTATAATTTAATATCCCAAGAAGCTAGTTACAATAGTAGGTTAACAGTAAATAATAAATCTTGCAAGGAAACTACCCATACCTATGCATAGCATGAAAACTATCTGTAGGATTTCTTTCAAAATATGTTCACCAGATTTACCACACCTGTTTTTTTATTCTGTATTTTTATGCATGTCAGTATCAGTCATAAGGTTAAAGAATTTTTTTTTATAAAGGTTAAAGAAATTGTAAAAAAAAAAAAATTGAACCTGTGAATACATATAATCTATTTACCTACTACCATTTCCTCCTTCCCTCCACCCTTACTACCTATTATGTATTGGTACAACTGAATTTTATGTCATTACCGGGTTCCACCACCACTTCATTACCCCTTCAATACTCCCTCCCACTCAACCCCTTTCCTGTTCCCGAATCCCCATCAATCACCACCACCCCTACACTCCATCTTGTGCCCACTCACTGCATCCCCTCCTTCCCTATTCCTCTCTCCTTACCCTCACCCAAAAAAACTCCTTTCTTCCCTCTAATCTCCAACTTACCCTCTCTCCCCTCTTTTACATACAAAATACACAAATATAAAATGCCAGAAAGGGTTGTACAAAAATATGGACCATAAAGAAAAGTTAATCCATTATCTGTCATTGTAGAAAATCTAGCACACCCTCCCTACCACCAGGACCTGATAATGGGTGATTTACTGAAATACATAAATCTGTATTAAATGTGAGATTTATAATTGCAATTTCCTTCAAAACCTTTTTCAATAATGATGACTTACGTTAACAAAGAAAACAATTATTCAACTATTTATTCAACTAGTTACTTTGCAGCTGAATTGCTATTATCACATTAAAAAATAAACCACTGTACAGGTGGGGCTTGAATTTGTGACAAGGGAGCCTTAAAACTCAGCCAGCACATAAGCCAGCTGTTCAGATGGCTACAGTAAGATTCGTCCAACTAGGTACATGTATATTTATACATCATAGGGAGGTTAGTATGGGCCCACTGACCACATATGCAAGTTTTTACAGTTGAATCTCCTGTTGTACAGTGGTTTGTTTGAAATCGTTTTATTACAAGTTTGCGAGTCATTAAAAATAAACGCTAACCCCACATGGGTCAGAGCATAAGGATAGGGTTAGTAGAATTCAGAGTTAGTGCAGGTGCAAAATCTGTCAAAGTTAGTGCAAAAGGTTAATGTTTTATAAAATTCCAAAGAGAAAATCTGAATTGCAGACAAGACTCTCTTGAGAGATCAGTTAGATAAGCATACCCAGGCACTGCACATGTTTACGTAAATTCCGAGTGCTGTCTTGATGGATAAAAGTCTATTAGGTGTGATTAATAAATAACTTGGCCTTGCAGGCTTCACAATGAGGTGCTGGACATGTCTCCACATGGCATCAGAGTCACGTGTCCTTATTCGTAATCATGCAAGATTAGTTTCCCACACCAGAGACAAAATGATGGCCGGAAACCAAATTGTAGTTTGATGGAAAACAGTTTATTTTGCTATGACTCTAAACAATGTTGCCAGTGAATTCAAAATTCATTAGTACTGAAAAGTACTGAGGAGCGAGAGAGGGTGGTTCAGCCAGGTGATCTGAGCCTCTACTGCTCTGTACCTCAGCCACTGACCACCTAACTATATATTAGACACTATCACCAGTTATCCTCCAGCAAATGTATTTTTTAAATCTACAGTCTCTGCCAAACAAACATGAACTCTCCATATAAGTATAAAATAATAAACTATCAACGTACGTATTTCGATAAAAACAGACAATCATAATTCAGTCCAAAAGTTTTAATTTTAAAATTTTCAATGCTGTACAGGCATACCTCATCAATATATGGGGTTAGATTCCCACCGCTGTAAAGCAAATCAGTTTTTTTTTTTAATTAAAAAATTTCTTGCTTAATATTTACCATATATGTAATTGCATCTGCAGATTAGTGTTCATGTGTAATTAACTGATTTTAAAACACCATGATCATGAGAGCAAATGATTGTATGTTGGAACCTACTGTATATTATGAATCTAAATTAGTTAAAGGATAAATTTATTCTTTACTTCGTCATCATCGTCGTCATCATCAGCTTTAGAGGTAGCAGTAGGAAAGAGGTATTCCATTCCAGAGCGCCCATACATTTCCGGACCTCCAGATAAAGTGGCAGACCTGAAAATTATGTAATACAGGACACATTCAATAAAGTCGAACAAAAGACAAAGGAAACAATTTAATTGCCATCTAATACCAAGTAAAAGTACTACAGCCTTTCCTCACTTAACGACTGAGTTCCATTCCTAAGACCACGTCGGTAAACGAATTCATTGCAAAGTAAGGAGCACACAATGGTAGTGGGCTTGTGTCAACCATTTTTGATAATGTTTTAATGTCACCTTTGCACCATTTATAACATTTCTGGTATATTTTAAAATGTTTATACAGAAGTGTACTGTATATTGTAATAAAAAGAATAGAGAAAATCAGCTCTAATATATATTATTTAGGTATGCACACTGGTCAGAGAGCCCGTCATAAGTCAGAGTCATCGGTAAACGAGTACATCACTAAGCGAGGAGAGGCTGTATTCTTAAAATGGTGAAAATTGCTTGGAATAAAAAGTCTCCGGTAAAGTCTTTATGTTACATGTTGACCAAAGTTGATTGCTAACCTAAAGCTTTGTATAAGCAAATGCAGTGAGTGAGTTTAGGTCCTATTTAATAACACTGCAGATTCTGCCAATACTTTGACCACACATACAACTATTATTTATTATTTTTTTTTTTTTATTATCACACTGGCCGATTCCCACCAAGGCAGGGTGGCCCGAAAAAGAAAAACTTTCACCATCATTCACTCCATCACTGTCTTGCCAGAAGGGTGCTTTACACTACAGTTTTTAAACTGCAACATTAACACCCCTCCTTCAGAGTGCAGGCACTGTACTTCCCATCTCCAGGACTCAAGTCCGGCCTGCCGATTTCCCTGAACCCCTTCATAAATGTTACTTTGCTCACACTCCAACAGCACGTCAAGTATTAAAAACCATTTGTCTCCATTCACTCCTATCAAACACGCTCACGCATGCCTGCTGGAAGTCCAAGCCCCTCGCACACAAAACCTCCTTTACCCCCTCCCTCCAACCTTACCTAGGCCGACCCCTACCCCGCCTTCCTTCCACTACAGACTGATACACTCTTGAAGTCATTCTGTTTCGCTCCATTCTCTCTACATGTCCGAACCACCTCAACAACCCTTCCTCAGCCCTCTGGACAACAGTTTTGGCAATCCCGCACCTCCTCCTAACTTCCAAACTACGAATTCTCTGCATTATATTCACACCACACATTGCCCTCAGACATGACATCTCCACTGCCTCCAGCCTTCTCCTCGCTGCAACATTCATCACCCATGCTTCACACCCATATAAGAGCGTTGGTAAAATTATACTCTCATACATTCCCCTCTTTGCCTCCAAGGACAAAGTTCTTTGTCTCCACAGACTCCTAAGTGCACCACTCACTCTTTTCCCCTCATCAATTCTATGATTCACCTCATCTTTCATAGACCCATCCGCTGACACGTCCACTCCCAAATATCTGAATACATTCACCTCCTCCATACTCTCTCCCTCCAATCTGATATTCAATCTTTCATCACCTAATCTTTTTGTTATCCTCATAACCTTACTCTTTCCTGTATTCACCTTTAATTTTCTTCTTTTGCACACCCTACCAAATTCATCCACCAATCTCTGCAACTTCTCTTCAGAATCTCCCAAGAGCACAGTGTCATCAGCAAAGAGCAGCTGTGACAACTCCCACTGCGTGTGATTCTTTATCTTTTAACTCCACGCCTCTTGCCAAGACCCTCGCATTTACTTCTCTTACAACCCCATCTATAAATATATTAAACAACCACGGTGACATCACACATCCTTGTCTAAGGCCTACTTTTACTGGGAAAAAATTTCCCTCTTTCCTACATACTCTAACTTGAGCCTCACTATCCTCGTAAAAACTCTTCACTGCTTTCAGTAACCTACCTCCTACACCATACACTTGCAACATCTGCCACATTGCCCCCCTATCCACCCTGTCATATGCCTTTTCCAAATCCATAAATGCCACAAAGACCTCTTTAGCCTTATCTAAATACTGTTCACTTATATGTTTCACTGTAAACACCTGGTCCACACACCCCCTACCTTTCCTAAAGCCTCCTTGTTCATCTGCTATCCTATTCTCCGTCTTTCTCTTAATTCTTTCAATAATAACTACCATACACTTTACCAGGTATACTCAGCAGACTTATCCCCCTTTAATTTTTGCAATCTCTTTTGTCCCCTTAGCCTTTATACAAGAACTATGCATGCTCTCTGCCAATCCCTAGGTACCTTACCCTCTTCCATACATTTATTAAATAATTGCACCAACCATTCCAAAACTATATCCCCACCTGCTTTTAACATTTCTATCTTTATCCCATCAATCCCGGCTGCCTTACCCCCTTTCATTTTACCTACTGCCTCACGAACTTCCCCCCCACTCACAACTGGCTCTTCCTCACTCCTACAAGATGTTATTCCTCCTTGTCCTATACACGAAATCACAGCTTCCCTATCTTCATCAACATTTAACAATTCCTCAAAATATTCCCTCCATCTTCCCAATACCTCTAACTCTCCATTTAATAGCTCTCCTCTCCTATTTTTAACTGACAAATCCATTTGTTCTCTAGGCTTTCTTAACTTGTTAATCTCACTCCAAAACTTTTTCTTATTTTCAACAAAATTTGTTGATAACATCTCACCCACTCTCTCATTTGCTCTCTTTTTACATTGCTTCACCACTCTCTTAACCTCTCTCTTTTTCTCCATATACTCTTCCCTCCTTGCATCACTTCTACTTTGTAAAAACTTCTCATATGCTAACTTTTTCTCCCTTACTACTCTCTTTACATCATTCCACCAATCGCTCTTCTTCCCTCCCGCACCCACTTTCCTGTAACCACAAACTTCTGCTCAACACTAACACTACATTTTTAAACCTACCCCATACCTCTTCGACCCCATTGCCTATGCTCTCATTAGCCCATCTATCCTCCAATAGCTGTTTATATCTTACCCTAACTGCCTCCTCTTTTAGTTTATAAACCTTCACCTCTCTCTTCCCTGATGCTTCTATTCTCCTTGTATCCCATCTACCTTTTACTCTCAGTGTAGCTACAACTAGAAAGTTATCTAATATATCTGTGGCCCCTCTATAAACATGTACATCCTGAAGTCTACTCAACAGTCTTTTATCTACCAATACATAATCCAACAAACTACTGTCATTTTGCCCTACATCATATCTTGTATACTTATTTATCCTCTTTTTCTTAAAATATGTATTACCTATAACTAAACCCCTTTCTATACAAAGTTCCATCAAAGGGCTCCCATTATCATTTACACCTGGCACCCCAAACTTACCTACCACACCCTCTCTAAAAGTTTCTCCTACTTTAGCATTCAGGTCCCCTACCACAATTACTCTCTCACTTGGTTCAAAGGCTCCTATACATTCACTTAACATCTCCCAAAATCTCTCTCTCTCCTCTGCATTCCTCTCTTCTTCAGGTGCATACACGCTTATTATGACCCACTTCTCGCATCTAACCTTTACTTTAATCCACATAATTCTTGAATTTACACATTCATATTCTCTTTTCTCTTTCCATAACTGATCATTCAACATTACTGCTACCCCTTCCTTTGCTCTAACTCTCTCAGATACTCTAGATTTAATCCCATTTATTTCCCCCCACTGAAACTCCCCTACCCCCTTCAGCTTTGTTTCGCTTAGGGCCAGGACATCCAACTTCTTTTCATTCATAACATCAGCAATCATCTGTTTCTTGTCAACTAATGAACAGTAATTCAAGAACCCTCCCCCCACAAAAAAAAAAAAAGGTAGATGGCAAAGAATAAACAAGTTTGTCATCCACATTGCTATATGACAAGCAGCAGCACAACTGCTCAAATGTTTTTGTTATCCAAATGAATTCAGCGTTAACTGTGAAACAAAGGTGTGAAGCTGAAGCACTGGCCACTACTAGAAAAGGTAAGATCATTGATTGATCTGAGGCACAAATAGAACAAGAGAAAAATATGCACATGTATAACCCAATGTAGTGACTAGACAAAACTGATACTGCCTCCTAGTACACCAGTTAAAATAGTGCTAAATTTCAGACATGCCTTATGTCAGCAAAAACTTTAAACCAATCACTTGCCAAACTTCCAAAACTAAAATTAGTTTACATGAAAACTACTTGAAGCAGGTTATAACCAATTTTTTTCTGTGTTTTTTTGGCACTAACCTGCATATATAATTTCCTTTGTACAGAATGGCAGGAACTGGAAACCTAGCCCGACAGCGAGCAAATTTGGCCTTCAGAATGAACTCCCTCAGCCTCGTTCCATCACTCTGAGCCTCTGGCGTTCCCTCCACCATGCACTTGCTTCCATTAGCTGAGAAAACAAAACAGCTTGCCCAGCTCCTTATAAAAGACAATACTCACTGATATCCCTCATTAACATAATACAGTACTTACCATATTTTACAGCTTATAAGACGCAGCTTATAAGACTTAGTTTTAGTTTCAATGGCTCAGCATCAGACATAACGGAGAGCTATAGCCCACCCCACACCCCAAACTTATAGCTCCCGTCACTGACCTTCAGTTTACAGGACGCAGGGTTGTTTTTGGAGACATTTTTGGAAAAAAAAAAAATGCGTCTAATAAGCTTCAAAATACAGTAAATTTTAGACTTGCACAGAATGAAGTTTAAATGGAAAGTCTTTTAAGAAGCACACAACAAAAACTATGCACCAAATGTGCTTAAAATCTTGTACAGTACAAAACACACAATACAGTACAGTATATAAGGGGCCCAACAATATCAATATAAGTAGTACAGTACATTGCAAAACAGCTTACCAATAAAAACTCCATCTTCAAAAAATATTTGGTATTATTAATTTATATAAATAACTAACTCCAGTATAAAAAGCAAGACCAAGGTTGCAACAAACATTATCTTCAATGGATACACCATTTCTTTATTAATGTTCTAGATGTTTCTTCATCCATCAACAGAATCTAAAATGTATTACAAAGACATTTTAATTTAAGTCAGTTGTACATCATACAGATTAAATTATCTTAGTTGGGTTACTCAGTTCATGATACAGAAAGAATTTTAAATGTTTTACAATTGGATGAAGAAACATCCAAAATGCCAATAAATTGTATATCCATTAAAGTTGGTGTTTGTCCCAGCCTTCATCAAGAATTATATTGAAATTTATTTCTCACATGGAATCTCAATTGCTAATATAACTTGACTCCATCTCTGGATAAATTTTTCCATTTTTATCTAACAACTTTTACATCATAACAAAAAACTATCAAGCTGTGTGCTGTGTATTTTACACCAAGATCCAATAATTTTCACACACTACAAGACCAAATAGAAAAAGAAATAAGCTCCTAAAGCAATGCACCAACAGAATACCAATATAGTCCACTATCAACTTGCCCTTTATAGGGATGTGTTCACCTTGACAAAACCAACAATGCTTTCATCTGTCATGTTGGAAATCACAGACATCTTATTAACTAGCTTTTAAAAGATCCAATCTTGTTAAATCAGCTCATATACACATAACTTTCACTAACATCAATCTTAGTCCTAGCTTTGCTCCTTTAAGTGCCTGTCTTTCTCAGTGCTTTGTCAAATACCCTAATCTTCAGAACACTCATTATTTGACCTTTGCTGCCTCCTCGCCTTTCTTCTCAACCTGTCTTCAGTACTGGCTTTGCATTTCCTGTCTTCTAAATTTCCTCTTGCTTGCTTCATTTTCTTTCCATGTAATTCTTCTCTGCCCCTCTTTGGGGACAGGTGTCAAAGGTGTTAAGATACTTCAATCTACACCACTTTTAAAAATCTAAATAATTTCTTACTCTATCATTAGTCCTGCCCAACATGGACCAGTAGATTTTCTGCAATGCTCCTCTTTTGTTTTGCTTTAATGTACTACTACTAGACCCTCTACTTCTATTACTAACAATACCACTATTACCACTAGACCCTAAACTATTACTTCTATTACTAACAATACCACTATTATTGCTAATACTACTGATGCTAATCCTACAACCACCACCACTTCCTTCTTTCCCTGCCATATTGTCTTCTGGCCTTCTTTATTTTCCTCACCCAAGTCGTGACTTGACAATGGTTCTGGATGGACAGAAATGTCATCAAAAGGTGAACTGTTGCAGGTACAGTATTGAGACTTATTCTTTATACCATATAACACATCACTTAAACTACTATATATAAAGCAATAGTATACATCAACTAAGCACCAATTCTTTCTTTCAACAAACTGGCCCTATCCCACCAAGACAGGGTGGCCCAAAAAGAAAAACGAAAGTTTTTCTTTTCAACTTTAGTAATGTATACAGGAGAAGGGATTAATAGCCCCCTGCTCCCGGCATTTTAGTTGCCTTTTATGACACCCATGGCTTACAGAGGAAGAATTCTGTTCCACTTTCCCATGGAGTAAGCACCAATTATTTGTTACAAATGCCACCAAATACTTAAATGCTCCTAAAAAACTAATGATTGTTTGTGAGAACCCTACCTGGTAGAGAACCCTTTCTCAACAATTCCACAGGGTGTCCATTAATGGAAACAGAGGCACGTGCCCCTCCAGACACGACTGAGGAGAATGATGGGGCACTGCCTCCCGGAATAATGGAAGGAGAACTGAGACTTAGCGGTGAAGGGGAGGTGAGGGTGAGGGGGCACAACAGCTCTGGAGGATCTAACCCCTCAGGTACCACCTCACACTCTGGGATGATCAGCTTGGTGGGGTAACTGTTGCACAACTCTCCTCCAGCATTAGGCACAACCTGTATGCATTGGTTTGTTAACTTTCTATTTTCACCTGTTAAATCAAAGCTCAATAATTGAAATATTTTTCTTTATGCAACACATTTTCAAAAACATTAAGACAAGTCCACTGTATTGAACTGCACTATAAAATTTGAGTGAAAGACAACAGGCACCAATATAAACACAAAATTAAAATGGATATGATATAATAGATACATGATAAATCACCATATATACTCACCATGCACTTGTAGTCCAGCTTCCATAGCTCCAAACATTTACCAAGTATTTGCTCAGTCTGTGGAGAGGAAAGGAAGCAAGATAAGAACATAATTAATCCATATAATAAAAAAAATTAGTTTAATTACAGAAGGGAAAATTTTGCATATCTGCTTGGTGTACGGCATTAACAAGTCAAAAAGACCAAGGTACAACTGTACAGTACGTATATGCTTTCCTAAGTCAACCAACCTCTCATCTGAAATCATAATAAACTGCCCACTTGGTAGTCTTGAAATTTTAAATTATATTACAATATTTGTCTACCTGGGAATGGTTATTCTACAATTTACGCATCAGGCAGGGGCTTTTTACAATCACGTTCTACTGGAAATAATGTACAGGATTAAATATATCTTCAGGGAGTAAAGAACAGTTACAATAAAAGGAAATGTAATGATCAACGATATTTAAAATAAATTGGAAGAAAATATGTACATTACCATATGTTAATAAGAAAATAAACAATATGACAAGACGAGATAAAATCATGGAATTAAAAAGGTGCACAGAATTAAGCCATTTTATCTAGAATTTTGGAGATATTTCCTTGCAAGATAATAAACTGGCACAGGAATGGGAAGCAAGGGAGTAAAGAGGGACAAAAATCTGGTGGTGGAGAAGAAAGGGGAAAAATTAAGTAGGGAAGAGGGGAAGAATTTTGGTGGGGAAGGTAAGGGTGAGAATTTAGAGGAGAAATACAGTGGACCCTCGACCAACGATGGCATCAATTAACGATAAATCCGACTAGCGATACATTTTATTGCAAAAATTTTGCCTCGACTAGCGCTAAAAAACCTGACCAACGCTATTCGTTCCTTTCGAGACGCGTCCACTTTGGCCTGAGCGCGCTTCACTTGTCCCATGGGTGCCAGTGTTTACAAGCCAGCCAGCCACAGCGGTCGCTTCCAAACATACAATTGGAACATTTCATATTATCACAGCCTTTGTAGTGATTGCACCTGCAAAATAAGTCACCATGGGCCCCAAGAAAGCTTCTAGTGCCAACCCTACAGCAAAAAGGGTGAGAATTACTATGGAGATGAAGAAAGAGATCATTGCTAAGTATGAGAGTGGAGTGCGTGTCTCCGAGCTGGTCAGGTTGTATAGTAAACCCCAATCAACCATCGCTACTCTTGTGGGCAAGAAAACGGCAATCAAGGAAGCTGTTCTTGCCAAAGGTGTAACTATGTTTTCGAAACTGAGATCGCAAGTGATAGAGATGTTGAGAGACTCTTATTGGTGTGGATAAACGAAAAACAGATAGCAGGAGATAGCATCTCTCAAGCGATCATATGTGAAAAGGCTAGGAAGTTGCATGACGATTTAATTAAAAAAATATCTGCAACTAGTGATGTGAGTGAATTTAAGGCCAGCAAAGGTTGGTTTGAGAGATTTAAGAAGCGTAGTGGCATTCATAATGTGATAAGGCATGGTGAGGCTGCCAGTTCGGACCACAAAGCAGCTGAAAAATATGTGCAGGAATTCAAGGAGTACATAGACAGTGAAGGACTGAAACCTGAACAAGTGTTTAATTGTGATGAAACAGGCCTGTTTTGGAAGAAAATGCCAAGCAGGACCTACATTACTGAGGAGGAAAAGGCACTCCCAGGACATAAGCCTATGAAAGACAGGCTTACTCTGTTGATGTGTGGCAATGCTAGTGGTGATTGCAAAGTGAAGCCTTTATTGGTGTATCACTCTGAAACTCCCAGTGTGTTCAGGAAAAACAATGTCCTCAAGGCTAATTTGTGTGTGCTGTGGAGGGCAAACAGTAAGGCATGGGTCACTAGGGACTTTTTCTATGACTGGTTACACCATGCATTTGCCCCCACTGTGAAAAATTACCTAACTGAAAAGAAATTAGACCTGAAGTGCCTCCTGGTATTAGACAATGCTCCTGGTCATCCTTCAGACGTGGCAGAGCGACTTTCTGCGGAAATGAGCTTCATTAAGGTGAAGATTTTGCCTCCTAATACCACTCCTCTCCTGCAGCCCATGGACCAGCAGGTCATTTCCAACTTCAAGAAACTGTACACAAAAGCTATGTTTGAAAGGTGCTTTGTAGTGACCTCAGAAACTCAACTGACTAAGAAAGTTTTGGAGAGATCACTTTACCATCCTCAATTGTGTAAACATTATAGGTAAGGCTTGGGAGGAAGTGACTAAGAGGACCTTGAACTCTGCTTGGAAAAAACTGTGGCCAGAATGTGTAGACAAAAGGGATTTTGAAGGGTTTGAGGCTAACCCTGAGAATCCTATGCCAATTGAGGAATCCATTGTGGCACTGGGAAAGTCCTTGGGGTTGGAGGTTAGTGGGGAGGATGTGGAAGAGTTGGTGGAGGAGGACAATGAAGAACTAACCACTGATGAGCTGCTAGATCATCATCATCAGCATGAGGCCAGACCTGAGGAAACTGCTTCGGAGGAGGGGATAGAGAAATTGAAGAAGTTGCCTATTTCTAAGATTAAGGAAATCTGTGCAATGTGGCTTAAAGTGCAAACCTTTATGGATGAAAATCACCCTGACACAGCTACTGCAAGCCGTGTTGGCAACCTGTACACTGACAATGTTGTGAAACACTTTAGAAATGTCATAAAGGAACGGGAGGTACAGGCCTCTATGGACAGACATGTTGTGCGACAGAAGTCCAGTGACTCTCAAGCTGGTCCTAGTGGCATTAAAAGAACAAGGGAAGTAACCCCGGAAAAAGAGTTGCTACCTCAAGTCCTAATGGAAGGGGATTCCTCTTCTAAACACTAAGAAGATCCACACTCTCCCCTCCTCCCATCCCATCAATCATCACCAGATCTTCAATAACGGTAAGTGTCATGTAACTGTGCATGTCTTCTTCAGTTTGTGTGTATTAAAATTAATATTTCATGTGGTAAAATTTTTTTTTTTCAATACTTCGGGGTGTCAGGAACGGATTAATTTGATTTCCATTATTTCTTATGGGGAAAATTAACTCTATTAACGATTATTTCGATTAACGATGAGCTCTCAGGAACGGATTAATATCGATGGTCGAGGGTCCACTGTACTGGAATGTTTAGCGAGGATATTATTCTATCTATATACTGTATATAAAATTCCAATTGTTATTTTCTTATTGATGAATGCACAGTAAATTGTGCAAGTATACATTCTAGAAGTGTATGCCTAGTGTTCTTGATACTTTTCATTTCATTTCAGCATATGGTAGTAAACTGCAGTACCTTCCTCTTTAGCCGCCTAGTTATAAATGTACGTAGAGCATACCCAGGTGCAGTATGGTAAATGCATTAGGTAAAGTTTTAGCCAAGACTTCTATTAGTACTATTACAAATGAGAGATTGGGATTTTATGCTTTTGTAGATCATTTTGTTTTCTCAGGGGAAACTGGTAAGCTGGGCTTAAAAGGTCCTGGAGGTGGCAAGTACAGTGCCTGCACTTTGAACGAGGGTGGGGGATGTTGCAGTTTGATTATCTAAGCATCACACTTCTGGTAAGACAGTGACTGAATAAATGATGGTGAAAGCTTTTCTTTTTCAAGCCACCCTACCATGGTGAGAAGCAGTTTATGAGAGACAGATAAAGACAGACACAGACAGAGTCCCCTGCTTAAACAGCAGGTTAGGTTCAGGGCTACCACTGTAAAGCAAAAATCACTGTAGAATAAAACAGCTTTTTTTTTCACTTTCAAATGCATATAAAAGCCTGATAACATGTTTACACTATCAAGTATTAAGTGAGCAATAGAGCCTGAAGCCTAAAAAATGCATATACATATAGTACACACATTACTTTAAAATATTTTAATTTTTAGCTTATAGCAAGTGGTGAATATATTTATTGTAGGAAGTCTGAATAAATGAAGAATGGGTATAATTGAAAACTGTTGCATTAGCGAAACACCATACGGAAAGCGAAGTGCTGAGCGGGATCCTCCAGTATAAAAAAAAGTTAAGAGGAAGTTGAACATGGTATATAATTCCATTTCAAAAGTTATTTCATTTCCTCTACCTCATTTCTTGCTACTAAGTTACCATGTTGTATAACATACTGACAAATTAGGCTAACCTCTTCCCTAAGGATATGTATTAGTTTGTACAGTGCAAGTGTTCTGATGTGTTTTTGTGAGGCACTCTTACATGAATGTTCATTATCATTGATATGACTTCTCTGATAAGATATGATTTAGTTTTTAAAATTACCCCAACACGACTGGCTATCTAACTCCTGACTCTGGCTTGCCTAGCCGCCAGAAGGCAGCTTTGATTTTGTCATGACTAATAGGTAGCACAAGTTTATTGTTAATTATTTGTGGTGTAATGATAACAAAAGGCTGTGAATGCTTTCCATTATCCCTGCAATTTATGACCCCTATGGGTTTAGCACTCTCAGAAGAAATGACAATAATAATATGGCCCAAATCTTGAGCATCACCTACTTCCACTAGTGGGTCTCTCCCACCTGTGACAACTTTACCCACTGCACCTCATCTGACTTAAAAAGCTTTCTATTAAGTGGAGTACAATATACAATTAACAGAGTAATTAACATACATAAACTACTTTATAGAAAGTCCCTTGTTATGCAGAGCATTTCAGGCAGCCTTAAAATTAATTATAATTATACTAAACAATGAGACAAATATACTGCAGTAGTTTATTAGAATGCTATTGATTGCAATATTTGAGATTTAAATACTGTAACAACTTGGTACATGAATTCTCATGTTGAAAGACTTGTGATAGTGTGAGCATCACTATGAATGCTAATATGATTTGAATCAACAGGGTTGCTAATGATACAACAGGCAGTTTAAATACATTGTACAAGTAGAGTTCAAGTCAAATTCAGGAGTTTTTTGACAAAATTTTTAATGCCAGGGACTGAGGAAATTTTTTGCTTCATCTGAAAGGGCATTCCAAATTTTAGGGCCCTTTATTGGCACAGAATTCCTGAAAAGGTCGAGTCAAACATGTGTCATATCAAGGATACTAATTTCTTATACTGTGTCCCCAGAAAGTCTGCATTGGGTTGAAGTTCATTTTAAGTGTCCTGTATATATGTAAGTAAGGATGTGTTGTATGTTCAACAATACACAAAAAACCCGCACATAGAAGAGAGGAGTTTACGACGACGTTTCGGTCGACTTGGACCATTTACTAAGCGACATTTCAGTCACAGTATTGCCTTTTTTTGTTATTTATGTTCAACAAGTTGAGACTTCTTAACAGTGGGGTGTGTGCTCTATGGAACCTGAATGGATGATTAATCTAAATATACAACTGATTTCTGTTGGGTAACAATGAGTTTTGGGCGATTTGCTATAATAGGTAGTGAATACCCACTTCCAGGCTAAGGGACTGATTACCTCAGCTTTTGCTATCATGTATTTCTATAATGAAAAGAGAAAACCATTGATAAAATAATTTCAAATAAAGATATCCAGATGTTGCACACTGTCATTCAAGAAAAGTAAAATATCTAATAAAAATATAGTTTTTACAAAACTGCTATTTTGAACTTTATAAAAAACACATGACTGCAGACACATAAGGAACAAAAAAAAAGAAAAAAAATCACACAGTATACACGTGTCACTTGTCAAAAGCAGACAATTTTTTAACTCACCAGATATATCTTAGCCTCCACTTACTACAAGATTTTATTTACAATTTACGTAATTCCACCCCTAAACTTTTGATATGTCATTTCAACAGCGAGATGAGAGACGGGGAAAAACATGATGGAAAGTATTATATATTAAGATACTGGCACGCCCACCACATGTTAAGACTCACCGTGCCACAACTTTCTCTCGCCCTGTAGGTGTTCTTCTCGAAATATTTCAACAGCTCTTCTATATCTTTAGTCTTTATTTGTGTGAGTTTCTCCATGGCTGGTAGGATGTGTGGTGGTTAGTGAGGAGTGTGTGTGTAGGTCATCCTTGACACTAATAGACGCAGTAACACCACCACCACTACTACCACCAGCTGCTGCTGCTGCTGCTGCTGCTGTAAACACACCACTCTTACTGCTGCTGCTGCTCCACACACCACACAACTCTCTCACTCTGCTCAACCTACACACTGCACACCCTACGCCTCCTCATTGGTCCACACTCACACATTTCCACCAATCACGGGTAAACTGAGTATATTGAGCATGTTGAGCGTGGTCTCAGTATACTTAATATGCTCACTCTTCCCTCTCCACCGCTGACGTATTTATTACATGGCGGGAAAAATATTACAAATATCTCCGTACTTCCTTAGTTTTTTTTTTATAACCAGTAGCAACATACAATGCCGAGTTAGATTTAATATCTGAAGTTCTCTGTTTCACTTCGCACAAGGTTCTACGAATATTACTTTCAACAAATAACTCAATGGAAATTATAATGATCCCAATTGAAATAAGTCACTTTGTCTGACATTTCTGGGTTTTCCTAGTTAATTTACACATATGTCACTATGTATGATAATTTGTGTAACTATTTCTGTGTACCTATACGTAAATAAACTTACTAACACAGTCTAAGAATATTTTAAGGCAGCCTGAAATGTTCTGCATAACCAGGGAATTTCTGTAAAATATGTCATTAATGTCACTTTTTTCCAAACCAAGCTTTGTAGAAATAAAGTTGATCATATATCATCATTTATCAACACAAAATAATACACATCAATTAGAGTAAACACTCATCTCAGTATTGCCAACTTATCATATATCCCAATACTATATAAGAATATATTATATATTCCACAATATTAAATTGTTATTGAATAACAAAACGGATTCTACGTTTAATATTCATTACTCAATAACAATAATTATAAATATTAAATTAGTAGCGAGAAGCAAATTGTCATTACCTGGCTGTTGAGAGGTGTTAGTAAGTTTATTCAGGTACAAGGCCAAAATAACCACAAGGGATGTTGAGTGGTATCTCTAGGCCTTTCGTATTGCAATCAACACATCATCGGGAGTTTGCAATGTTGCAGAAATAGAGCAGGACAATCAGGAAGATCCGTTCATGGGAATAGCTCATTCCATGAGCGATTCCCATTAATGGATGTATCGAAACAGACAATGGTAGAGTTACCTTCAGTGATGTGTGTCAGCTACTCAGACTAATATTAATAAAAGCAAACTAAATGTAATAATTTTCATAAAAACAATAATGTGCTAATAATAGCGTAAGTCTTGGCAACAGTGACAGTGGTCGAGGATGGCGGGGGATGCTGCGGGTTATTGTTCTTATATTTGGTCTTTTATTAATACTTTCTGTATAAGATGTGTGTATATGGAGAGTTTCAAGCTGTGTTTTCTTAGAGTGATTCAGTGTGAGGTGAATCAGTGAGTGATTGATGTACAGCAGGTCATGTGCAGCTTTATGTCGATGTTTGATTTGTAAATATTTCACACTATTGATGCTAAGTCAGTTTATTCAGGTACAGGTATACATAAATACTGTTATATTGATTATCATACATAGTAGCATATGTGTACATTACCTAGGATAACCCAAAAAAGTCAAAGTAACTTATTTCCATTGGGGTCCTTGTGATAAGTATTATTTATATTTAAAAGTTTAAATAGGTAATCTATGTGAAAAGTAGTTATAATAAAAGGAGATATACCAGGGGTAAGGTAAGTTCTGTTATTTATATTAATATTAAAGATAGGATCATATCAAATTACATGTGTGTTGGATATACAAGAAATCGCTCTCCTCCCTTTCTGTAGGTACCTTTTGCTGGTGTAAAGTTCTTGATCCAAGGAATTAAATCACACCTCCCCTTCCTTGGATTGAATATAATTACTGCCCATTTCCCAGGTACTGTGTAACTCCCATGGGTTTAATGCAGCCCAGTGATCATAATACTGAGGACCCCAATAGAAATAATATTATTTGATTTTATTGTCTTATCCTAGGTTATACATACATACTTTCAACAAACCGGCCATATCCCACCGAGGTGGGACGGCACAAAAGGAAAAACGAAAGTTTCTCCTATTACATTTAGTAATATATAGAGGAGAAGGAGTTACTAGCCCCTTGCTCCCAGCATTTTAGTCACCTCTTACGAAATACATGGCTTATGGAGAAAGAACTCTGTTTCATTTTCCCATAGAGAAGCAATAGAATTAGATCCCTGGTACGGGTGGAAACATTAGGACGTATTTCCTTAAGACACCTGCTGTCCCTGTTCGCCTAACAGTAAAATAGGTACCTGGGTGTTAGTCGACTAGTGTGGGTCACATCCTGGGGACAAAATTGACATAATTTTTCTGAAATGTTCTGCATAATAAGGGGCTTGCTATAGAGTAGTACATGTCAATGCTGTCAGCTAGGCCTTTATACCTTGTACATGTACTTATAGAAATAAAGATTATTACAGCCTCTCCTCACTTAGCGACATACTCGTTTACCAACGACTAGGACTTACGACAGGCTCTCTGTCCAGTATGCACACCTAAATAATGTATATTAAAGCTGATTTCCTCTATTCTGTTTATTACAATATACAGTACAATACTGTATAAACATTTAAAATACACTAAAAATATTATAAATTATGCAATAGTGACATTAAAGCAATATCAACGATGGTTGACATAAATCCACTGCCATTATAGTATGCTCCTCATTTAGTGATGAATTCGTTTACTGACGCGGTATTAGGAATGGAACTTCGTCGTTTAGTGCAGAGAGGCTGTATTATTATTATGGTGTCTAGGCACACATTATATTACTACTTGATTATTTCAGAAGTTGGGGATGAGGTCACTGAGGTGGCAGGAGCCTCAGAAGCAGCCAAGTGTATTAAAGCTATTGATAAGACTACTGTTCATCGCATCTGCTCTGGTCAGGTAAGCTCATTGCTCATTGATTTAGGTACTGTTGTAATGCCAACTTCCTAACTTGTGGTTAATGGTATATACTGTGCATAAGAGGTGTACATAGCTCAGTATTTGTTTACTGAGTTTATATTAGTCTCTTTATTGAGATTACAGTATGTATTCATTATATATGTGTACAGATGAATTGCAATATGTATTCATTATATAAGTGTACAGATGAATTGCAGCTTTAATTACCCATCTGCAGTTGATAGGCTTGAAACAATAGCCTATCAACTGTGACATAATACGTCATAATCTGGAAATGAATCCTGAAGATTTGTCACTGAAACATTGATTGCACAAAAATAAATGTTCTACAAAGTTTGCAAGACTATTCCATTTGTGAATTAGATTTCTGCAAGCTCATTCATCTTTAAATCAATTAAAACTTCTTTTAGTTATCTAATTCGTCTGTAAATTGAGCTCATGTACATGGAAGCATGCATAGGTTTTTGTCAGTGTAATGGAACTTTTCTATAAAAGCAATCTATTATATAAATATGTGTTTGTTATTGTTGACGTTTTTCCCATTTAACCGTAAACTGGTGCATGATTAAGCATTTATAAGTACTGTACTTATGAGACTAATAACACCATAGAGGTAATTCATAAGCTGTTTTGACTACAGACAAATGATGGCTTGTTCACAGTATACATATATAAATTTGAATAATAGTGTCTGTTAAATATGCAGATTTATTTGTTAGTTGGTATAATTACTCCTACTTTTCAGGTTGTGCTAACACTTGCCACAGCTGTGAAAGAGTTGGTGGAAAACAGTCTAGATGCTAGTGCTACCAGCATAGAGGTGCGTCTTCGGGATCATGGTACTACACTCCTGGAAGTCTCAGATAATGGAAAAGGAGTAGAAGAATGTGATTTTGAAGGCCTGAGTATGTAAAAATTGTCAGAGGCTACATTCTTCAATTTTAAGATTAAGGAACTTGCAAAATACAAGTGTCTCTCACTCTATGCCAAAGATGTGTTCCAGGTCCTTGCCGCATAAAGAGAAATTGTATAAAATGAACCCAAGTAAAACGTAGGAATACAGTTTGAGGTTTTCTGATTCTACATTCTATGTTTACCAAAAAATTATGAGGTTACTACACACGCACCAGTGGCTGTACATAGCAAAAGGAATTTAGTGAAAAAATAACACAATTATAATGATCCCAATGGAAATAAGTTACTTTGTCTGACATTTCTGGGTTTTCCTAGTTAATTTACACATATGTCGCTATGTATGATAATTTTGTGTAACTGTATTTCTGTGTACCTGTACGTAAATAAACTTACTAACACAGTCTAAGAATATTTTAAGGTAGCCTGAAATGCTCTCCAAAACCAGAGAATTTCTGTAAAATATGTCATTAATGTCACTTTTTTCCAAACCAAGCTTTGTAGAAATAAAGTTGATCATATATCATCATTTATCAACACAAAATAATACACATCAATTAGAGTAAACACTCATCTCAGTATTGCCAACTTATCATATATCCCAATACTATATAAGAATATATTATATATTCCACAGTATTAAATTGTTATTGAATAACAAAATGGATTCTACGTTTAATATTCATTACTCAATAACAATACTGTAATTATAAATATTAAATTAGTAGTGAGAAGCAAATTGTCATTACCTGGCTGTTGAGAGGTGTTAGTAAGTTTATTCAGGTACAAGGCCAAAATAACCACAAGGGATGTTGAGTGGTATCTCTAGGCCTTTCGTATTGCAATCAACACATCATCGGGAGTTTGCAATGCTGCAGAAATAGAGCAGGACATTCAGGAAGATCCATTCATGGGAATAGCTCATTCCATGAGCCATTCCCATTAATGGATGTATCGAAATGGACAATGGTGGAGTTACCTTCAGTGATGTGTGTCAGCTACTCAGACTAATATTAACCCTTTGACTGTCGCGGCTGTATATATACGTCTTACGAGGTACAGTGTTTGACGTATATATACTCATAAATTCTAGCGGCTTCAAATCAAGCAGGAGAAAGCTGGTAGGCCCACATGTGAGAGAATGGGTCTGTGTGGTCAGTGTGCACCATATAAAAAAAATCCTGGAGCGCGCAGTGCATAATGAGAAAAAAAAACTCCGACCGTTTTTTTTTTTAATTAAAATGCCGACTTTGTGGTCTATTTTCGTATAGTATTTATGGTTGTATTCTTTCTTGGTCTCATTTGATAGAATGGAAAACATATAGAAATAGAGGTGATTTTGATTTATTTTACTATAAAAAGAACCTGGAAATGGAGCTCAAAGTAGGGGAAATGTTTGATTTTTGCCATTGTTCAAAAGTAAACAAATGATGTCATTGTCCAATAAATGTCCAACTAGCCATTCTAATATGCAGTCATGAATGGGTTGATGTTATTTATACAATTATTACAGTATTGCAGTAGTCTGCATAATAGTAAGTCTTCTATTTTTTGTTTGAATAAAAATTCAAAATAGAAAGCAAGAGTAATATCAGAGGGGCCTGGAGATATGACTGATAAACAAAGAAAATATTATTTTAGAGCCAGGAATGTCTGCATTGTTCATTCTGGACCTTATTTTGAAATTGTCGTATTTTTTAATTTTCGTGAAATTGGCCAAATTGCAAATTTTTGACCACATTATTGGGTAGTTGCAATCGGTAAATGGACAGTTTCTTGTACTCAATCGATAGAAAAAATGGAGTTCTAAAGAAATAGCTGTGAGTTTGGTAGACTGGAATAACGGAATTAGCCGAAAATAGGGCTCAAAGTGGGCGAAATCACCGATTTGTAAATATTGCCGAGGTCGCTAACTTCGCGAGAGCATAATTCCGTCAGTTTTCCATCAAATTTCGTTTTTTTTTTTTTGGTGTCATTACAATCAGGAAAAGATTCTCTATCATTTCATAAGAAAAATAATTTTTTTTTTTTTTTTTTTTTTGAAATTTGCAACACCAGGAGACACCTCAGGATTGGGGGTTGCGACAGTCAAGGGGTTAATAAAGGCAAACTAAATGTAATAATTCTCTTAAAAACAATAATGTGCTAATAATAGCAAAAGTCTTGGCAACAGTCTCCAGTTTTAACACCTTAAAATAACCTCTGTATTGATAAAGCCACTGGCTGGTGAAACATCTTTATAATGAAGATACCCCAGTGTTGCAAGTATCTTATTTATCCTGGGCCAGTAATATGAGAAAATGACAATTTTTTTTTTTCAGTTTTCTGTTTGTGACCTGATATTATTATAACATGCCAGGTAGATATATAGACAGACAAATAAGGAAATTGTCTCCTTATCATTTACAGCTTTAAAACACCATACTTCAAAGCTTCAAGATTTTGGTGACCTAGTTGGAGTGAAGACCTATGGTTTTCGTGGTGAGGCTCTCAGTTCACTATGTGCTCTCAGTGACCTCACTATAATAACACGCCACTTCAGTCAAGAGGTCGGGACAAAGCTGGAGTATGATCACAATGGAAAACTTTTAACCAAAATGGCAGTGTCAAGGCAGGTTAGTGGAATGTTAATTTTTAATATGTTTATAAATTAAAAGATAAATGTTTGAGGTCATAGAATGTCATATTGATATTACAGTACTTTTTATTTAAATTTGCATAATTATCAAAAATCAGTAGGAAGAAGTACCATCAGTACCATAGCTTGACTAATTCACAAGCACCTCACAAATTCAAAATGAAAATAGATGAGGCCAGACTGGAGTGTCATTCAGTCTTCATTTCTAAGTTGGGAGTAACTCGTGAATTAATCAGTATTGAATGTTATTCTAAGTGGTGCTAATGGAAATAATTATATATAGTTAAAATTATAAGGAAGTTGTCCAGACACTAATATATTGTCCTAACCGGGGTGCTTGTGTCCTCAGGTTGGCACAACAGTCTCGCTGCAGGGACTCTTTTCTACACTGCCAGTGCGACATAAGGAGTTTCAACGCAATATCAAGAAGGAGTTCGGTAAAATGATCCAGATTCTCTACTCTTACTGTTTAATATCTACTGGAGTAAGGTGAGATTTTTTTCCAGATTATTGACATTAGCATCTTTAAAAAGAAAATCGTTACTAGGCCCTTTAAATTAAAATTTAGCAGATTAGCAGTATAGTACTATGTGTATATTGTTTTTTACTGTAGGGTTACATATTTCCAACTTGTTTTGGTGTCTTTCATAATTAATGTATGTTTTAATTACATAATTCACTGTATGCTAAGGCAAATTTAAATACTGTGCTGTATATGTGTCCTAAGGATTATTGTTTTTGCTTTAAAATTTTATAAAGAAGTAATATTTAATTTCTTCACAAGCTTTGAGTCCAGCTTACCTGATTAAAATTCAGTTAGTCAGACTTGAGTCCTGGAGGTGGAAAGTACAATGCTTGCACCCTGAGGGAGGGGTGGGGATGTCACACTTCAGAGAATTATTTGAATTGTGATGTCTGCATGCTTCTGGCAAGAAGGCTATTGAATGAATGATGGTAATTTTTTTTTTTTTTTTTTTTGTCATCCTGCCTCATTGGGAGATGTTCATTGTCTTAAAAATATATATTTAAGCTCTTATTCATCATCATTTCATTAGGGTCTGTCATCCCTTTCTCACTAAAATGATACACCATTCTTGCCCTTATTTCACTGCTATTCACACCCCCACAGATAGGTGAAAAGATTATATTAATACAAGCATGCATTTTTTTTCATGCTAGTTGTCTCCCACCAATGCATTTATTTACTGTATTAGTACATATATACATTTTTTCCAATAGGATAACATGCACAAATCATGATGGTAAGGGCAAGAAAACTATTGTAGTATCAACAAGTGGACATCCTACTGTAAAAGACAACATCTCTTCAGTTTTTGGAGCTAGACAGGTAAGCAGTCTGGTATTTGGATGAGTAAGTGATAAAGCGCAGTGGAAAATGGTTATGAAGAGCAGTGTGAAATGTTTTAAGTAAAGCAGTTAAAAATATACTACCTGTACTTAACCCTTTCTCTGCCACGGCCCCCAAAATTAAAAAAAATTAAAAAATTTAAAAAAGAATAATAATAATAATTTTATCTCCTGAAACTAGAGATTCTTATTCTGAAGGTACTGACACAAGAAAATGTGAAATTTGATGGAAAACTTACAGAATTACTCAGGCATAAAGTTGGCAGTCTCAGTGTATTCTACCCATTGGTGATTTTACCTACTTTAAGTCTTATTATAAGTCACTTCTAATGCTTAATTCAACCGAATTCCTAGCTTTTTTACACAGAAGGTGGTAATTAAGCCAGTTTTATGCAATTTTCAAGAATTCCAATTTAAAAAGAGGGAGAGTTCAAAATAAACACTATAGACATTCCAGCCACTAAAGTAATGTTTCCTGTCAATTAATCATGTCCCCAGGTCTCTCCTATATAATACTTGCCCTCCAGTTTGAATCCATCATCACCAAAAAAAAAAAAATTGAAGATTTACCCTATTTTTTTCAGATAATAAAATATAACCGAGAATAATTGATCATGGTTCAAGTCATCCCAGTAATTGAAGCAGACCTAATGACAACCCATAAAACAGATGGGTTTTTCACTATAATTATCTTTACCCATCATAAAAATGATCAAAATGAACATTTCTGCCGCTTTGAACCCTATTTCGAACTACTGCTGGTCTGAAACCTACCAAAATCATCTCTATTTCATTAGCGTACTTTCCATTCTATTGGTCGATAGCAAGAGACAGCCAATAAAATTATACAAAACACCCTAGAAAACACCTCAAAGTTGCTATTTTTAACCAAACACATGGTCATGGTTTGCTCTTCCCATCATGCACTGTGTAGGGGATAGGATTTTGTTTTGCACTTCTAAAATTTACCACTCACAGCTTATTTGAGGAAGCTGTGTTAAAACATAGTCTGCGTGAGCAACACTGATGTCAGTGATGTAGATGTAAATGGGAGGCACTAAAAGGTTAAGGAGAGGGGGGATGAGAAGGTGCAGCTTATTGACAACAGTTGATTAAATGCAGTCCCCTTTTTCCTTGTGTTATTAAATTAAGTATTATTATACAGTGGACCCCCGCCTTACGAACGCATCGCGTTACGTTAAATCCGCCATACGAAGCATTTGAATGCGAAAATTTTGCCTCGCCTCACGATAAAAAACTCCTTATGTGATTCATCCGGGACGCGTCCCACGTGTGGCCTCAGTGCCAGTGTTTACAAGCCAGCCAGTGCGGTCGCATCTACGCATACATTCGGTACATTTCACATTATCCCAGTGTTTTTAGTGCTTGTATCTGCAAAATAAGTCACCATGGACCCCAAGAAAGCTTCTAGTGCCATCCCTGTGGTAAAAAGGGCAAGAATTAGTATGGAATTACAATCAATATATTGTAGTAAATTTGATTTTATCAGTTACCCATAATTATTAATTCAGTGTGAGTCAGTAAAATGCAGTTTCAGTAATTATAAATTGCCAGACACATTTAATTTACCATATTGTTCATGTTTGTTCAGGTTTCCAGTTTGCTCGAGTTCCAACAAAAAACTGCCTCGGCTGATGTCTTGGCAGAGTATGGGATGGACATGACTGATGGAACTATCCAAGGTATTCAACCATACTAGTTGGTCAGACTGATAATTTGCTTTAATTTGGTGATGTAATGCATGTGATAACAGCTCATTTACTTGCCAGAGATAATTGATATGTTGTACTTTGCCCTCGGTGTTGTATGACTCGTGTAGGTTTAACACATGTATTGCAGTATTATAATAATAATAATACCTGCAGTAATGTACTTGGCTTTAGTCATAAAGGATATAAACAGTACTGTTTCTCACTAATTCCAATTTCTTTTGGTGAGTGCAAGGAAAAAGTAATTGTTTTCCTTGTACACAGGAAATACTTTATTCACCTTAGAAGGGTATATTTCTTCATGTGCCCATGGACAAGGACGCTCTGCAGCTGATCGTCAGTTCTATTTCATTAATTCTCGACCATGTGACCCAAATAGAGTGAGTACTGACCTCCATAGTGTCAGTAGTCTAATGACTCAATAGACTGCTGCCACTTCATACGTAGTTTGTCATAATAAAAATACTGCCTTGTATCATGAATGTAGAAGTATCTGCATGTGGGGAAATTTGCCTGTGTCAAGTTTGATTATTTTTATTCAGTAGTGTAACACTGAATAGTATGAATCTTTCATTAGTATGAGATTTTGCATTTATGTGATGCTGTATTTGCATTAGTTTTTGTTAGGCGTGTGTGAGCGTGTTAGATAGGAGCGAATGGAGACAAATGGTTTTTAGGACTTGATGTGCTGTCGGAGTGGAAGCAAGGTAACACTTATGAAGGGATTCAGGGAAACCGGCAGGCCGTACTTGATTCCTGGAGATAGGAAGTACAGTGCCAGCACTCTGAAGGAGGGGTGTTAGTGTTGCAGTTGTATAATTGTAGTGTAAACATGCCTCTGGCAAGACAGTGATGGAATGAATGATGATGAAAGTTTTTCTTTTTCGGGCCACCCTGCCTTGGTGGGAAATGGTCGATGTGTTAATTAAAAAAGTAAAAACATGTATAATAGTTATTTTTTCTCTGTTCAGTAATTCAGTCCTAGCTGACACATCCACTTAGACTAGTTCTCTGGCATTACCATGTATTGCTCTAAACTAACTTCTTTTTACATATGCTGTATTTGGCTAGTATTAAATGATTATTGTATGCCTGTACCATATATCATATACAGTATCATATGTATTTTTCCTCTGCACTATAATATACATTGGATGCAACTTGTTTTTAGGTGATGAAGCTGGTTAATGAGGTATACCATCACTACAACCGGCATCAGTTTCCTTGTGTAATGTTAAATATACGACTCAGAGAGGATGACGTAGACATCAATGTGACACCTGACAAGCGGCAAATTCTTGTCAACAATGAAAAGATCCTGTTAGCTACCATTAAGGTTGGAAAACATTTATTGGTTAGAAGTTTATTAAAAATTTTCCTGCATAAAGAATATTTTTTCAAGTGTCTGTTGATTATGTAAAATACATAATTGGTAATAATTTGTTTTCTCCAAGAATAATATAGTTTGTATGCTTCAGATGGCAATTTGGAGTGTTTGATTTTACCTTAATTCTTCCTATGAATGTGAAACTTATGAAAGAAAAAGATGGAATACTATAAAAAGCATGGATTGTTAAGTGTTCAAAGGGAATAAATGTAGATAAGAGAGGATACTTGGGAGTTGACGTGTTGGCGGATGGATTTATGAAGGATCAGGTTAATCATAGAATTGATGAGGGGAAAAAAGGTGAGTGGCGCATTGAGGTATATGTGGAGGCAAAAAAACATTATCTATGGAGGCAAAGAAGAGAATGTATGAAAGTATATGGGTGTGAAGCTTGGATTGTGAATGCAGCAGTGAGGAGGCAGTTGGAGGCAGTGGAGATGTCCTGTCTAAGGGCAATATGTGGTGTAAATATTATGCAAAAAATTTGGAGTGTGGAAATTAGGAGAAGGTGTGGAGTTAATAAAAGTATTAGTCGGAGGGCTGAAGAGAGGTTGTTGAGGTGGTTTGGTCATTTAGAGAATGGATCAAAGTAGAATGACATAAAGAGCATTTAAATCTGTAGGGGAAGGAAGGCAGGGTAAGGGTCATCCTCAAAAAGGTTGGAAGGAAGGGGTAAGGGAGGCTTTGTTGTCGAGGGGCTTGGACTTCCAGCGGGCGTGCGTGAGCGTGTTCGATAGGAGTGAATGGAAACAAATGGTATTTGGGACCTGACGATCTGTTGGAGTGTGAGCAGGGTAATATTTAGTGAAGGGATTCAGGGAAACTGGTTATTTTTATATAGCCGGACTTGAATCCTGGAAATGGGAAGTACAATGCCTGCACTCTAAAGAAGGGGTTCGGGATATTGGCAGTTTGGAGGGATATGTTGTGTAGTGTTAGAGTGTTCAGCAGAAGTTTGTGGTTACAGGAAAGTGGGTGCGGGAGGGAAGAGGAGCGATTGGTGGAATGATGATGTAAAGTGAGTAGTAAGGGAGAAAAAGTTAGCATATGAGAAGTTTTTACAAAGTAGAAGTGATGCAAGGAGGGAAGAGTATATGGAGAAAAAGAGAGAGGTTAAGAGAGTGGTGAAGCAATGTAAAAAGAGAGCAAATGAGAGTAGGTGAGATATTATCAACAAATTTTGTTGAAAATAAGAAAAAGTTTTGGAGTGAGATTAACAAGTTAAGGAAGCCTAGAAAACAAATGGATTTGTCAGTTAAAAATAGGAGAGGAGAGTTATTAAATGGAGAGTTAGAGGTATTGGGAAGATGGAGGGAATATTTTGAGGAATTGTTAAATGTTGATAAAGATAGGGAAGCTGTGATTTCGTGTATAGGGCAAGGAGGAATAACATCTTGTAGGAGTGAGGAAGAGCCAGTTGTGAGTGTGGGGGAAGTTCATGAGGCACTAGGTAAAATGAAAGGGGGTAAGGCAGCTGGGATTGATGGGATAAAGATAGAAATGTTAAAAGCAGGTGGGGATATAGTTTTGGAGTGGTTGGTGCAATTATTTAATAAATGTATGGAAGAGGGTAAGGTACCTAGGGATTGGCAGAGAGCATGCATAGTTCCTTTGTATAAAGGCAAAGGGGACAAAAGAGAGTGCAAAAATTATAGGGGGATAAGTCTGTTGAGTATACCTGGTAAAGTGTATGGTAGAGTTATTATTGAAAGAATTAAGAGTAAGACGGAGAATAGGATAGCAGATGAACAAGGAGGCTTTAGGAAAGGTAGGGGGTGTGTGGACCAGGTGTTTACAGTGAAACATATAAGTGAACAGTATTTAGATAAGGCTAAAGAGGTCTTTGTGGCATTTATGGATTTGGAAAAGGCATATGACAGGGTGGATAGGGGGGCAATGTGGCAGATGTTGCAGGTGTATGGTGTAGGAGGTAGGTTACTGAAAGCAGTGAAGTTTTTACGAGGATAGTGAGGCTCAAGTTAGAGTATGTAGGAAAGAGGGAAATTATTTCCCAGTAAAAGTAGGCCTTAGACAAGGATGTGTGATGTCACCGTGGTTGTTTAATATATTTATAGATGGGGTTGTAAGAGAAGTAAATGCGAGGGTCTTGGCAAGAGGCGTGGAGTTAAAAGATAAAGAATCACACATAAAGTGGGAGTTGTCACAGTTGCTCTTTGCTGATGACACTGTGCTCTTTGGAGATTCTGAAGAGAAGTTGCAGAGATTGGTGGATGAATTTGGTAGGGTGTGCAAAAGAAGAAAGTTAAAAGTGAATACAGGAAAGAGTAAGGTTATGAGGATAACAAAAAGATTAGGTGATGAAAGATTGGATATCAGATTGGAGGGAGAGAGTATGGAGGAGGTAAATGTATTCAGATATTTGGGAGTGGATGGGTCTATGAAGGATGAGGTGAATCATAGAACTGATGAGGGGAAAAGGGTGAGTGGTGCACTTAGGAGTCTGTGGAGACAAAGAACTTTGTCCTTGGAGGCAAAGAGGGGAATGTATGAGAGTATAGTTTTACCAATGCTCTTATATGGGTGTGAAGCATGGGTGATGAATGTTGCAGCGAGGAGAAGGCTGGAGGCAGTGGAGATGTCATGTCTGAGGGCAATGTGTGGTGTGAATATAATGCAAAGAATTCATAGTTTGGAAGTTAGGAGGAGGTGCGGGGTTACCAAAACTGTGTCCAGAGGGCTGAGGAAGGGTTGTTGAGATGGTTCGGACATGTAGAGAGAATGGAGCGAAACAGAATGACTTCAAGAGTGTATCAGTCTGTAGTGGAAGGAAGGCGGGGTAGGGGTCGGCCTAGGAAAGGTTGTAGGGAGGGGGTAAAGGAGGTTTTGTGTGCGAGGGGCTTGGACTTCCAGCAGGCGTACGTGAGCGTGTTTGATAGGAGTGAATGGAGACGAATGGTTTTTAATACTTGACGTGCTGTTGGAGTGTGAGCAAAGTAACATTTATGAAGGGGTTCAGGGAAACCGGCAGGCCGGACTTGAGTCCTGGAGATGGGAAGTACAGTGCCTGCACTCTGAAGGAGGGGTGTTAATGTTGCAGTTTAAAAACTGTAGTGTAAAGCACCCTTCTGGCAGGACAGTGATGGAGTGAATGATGGTGAAAGTTTTTCTTTTTCGGGCCACCCTGCCTTGGTGGGAATCGGCCAGTGTGATAATAAAAAAAAATAATAATGTTGTGTATCTTTATACGTATATGCTTCTAAGCTGTTGTGTTCTGAGCACCTCTGCAAAAACAGTGATTATGTGTGAGTGAGGTGAAAGAGTTGAATGATGATGAAAGTATTTTATTTTTGGGGATTTTCTTTTTGGGTCACCCTGCCTCGGTGGGAGACAGTCGACTTCAAAAAAAAAAAAAAAGAGGATTCTGTGATACATAAATGAGGGAGTTTTTGTACTGTATCTGTAATAATGTAAAAAAAAAATGGATTGCAGTGATACAGACATGTGAAAAGGAGTTTAAATTGTCTGTGGAAGGTGAATTCTGATACATGTACTTAAAAACAGAAGGCTGGATTAAGGTAAAGGACAGAATGAATGTGTCTTACATGGGAAGATGTGCTGATGGTGATATGTGTAGGATTGAATGGCATTATGTGCAAAACTGAATGGTGTTCTTACGATGGTATTTGAGGGACTAATAGGCATTTTAATTGTGGTATGTGAAGAAGTGAAAGGTATTGTGATGTAGTGTATGTGTAGGAATGCAACTTGTCCTCCACATTTTTTACCGTGCTGTGAAAATCAAGCTTGAAATTTTGGTGTACACTCTTGTACTTCCAGACATAAGCAACACTTTATAATTTCATTATTGTTGGGTAATTATACAGAAATATAGGTTAAATATATGAAAGGCAATTCACATGAAACTGGCTGCCCTAATGGGAGAACAGGTTGGAGACTGAAGGGTGTTTTGATGGTGGCATGTCAGATGTCATGTCTAAGGGCAATGTGTGGTGTAAATATTATGCAGAAAATTCGGAGTGTGGAAATTAGGAAAAGGTGTGGAGTTAATAAAAGTATTAGTCAGAGGGCAGAAGAGGGGTTGTTGAGGTGGTTTGGTCATTTAGAGAGAATGGATCAAAGTAGAATGACATGGAAAGCATATAAATCTATATAGGGGAAGGAAGGCGTGGTAGGGGTCGTCCTCGAAAGGGTTGGAGAGAGAGGGTAAAGGAGGTTTTATGGGCGAGGGGCTTGGACTTCCAGCAAGCGTGCGTGAGCATGTTAGATAGGAGTAAATGGAGGCGAATGGTACTTGGGACCTGACGATCTGTTGCAGTGTGAGCAGGGTAATATTTAGTGAAGGGATTCAGGGAAACCGGTTATTTTCATATAGTTGGACTTGAGTCCTGGAAATGGGAAGTACAATGCCTGCACTTTAAAGGAGGGGTTTGGGATATTGGCAGTTTGGAGGGATATGTTGTGTATCTTTATACGTATATGCTTCTAAACTGTTGTATTCTGAGCACCTCTGCAAAAACAGTGATAATGTGTGAGTGTGGTGAAAGTGCTGAATGATGATGAAAGTATTTTCTTTTTGGGGATTTTCTTTCTTGTTTGGGTCACCCTGCCTCGGTGGGAGATGGCCGACTTGTTGAAAAAAAAAAAAAGTCAGAAACTGTTGGGAGGTCTTCTAATGGTGGTGTATGTGACTGAAAGGTGTTCTGATGGTGGAATGTGAGGGATTGTATTGTGAGGAGTGTTTCTGATGGTGTTGTGTATATGACTGGAGGATATTCTGGTAGTCGTTATGTGTGGAACTGAAAGTTGTTCTGATGCTGGCATGTGAGGGACTGAATGGTTTTCTGCCAATAGCATGTGTGACAATGTGTTGGTAATTTTTTTCATGAAGTAGCTGTTGTGTGTCTCCTGTGACTTTAAAATGAATGATTAAGTTTTACATTCAGAGCACAACAAAATTCTTTAATTATTTTGTTATTATTGGTGTACTGTATTATCCTTTAACCAACCATTGATTAATGGGAGAACCATAGAATGTTTACAGTGCTCAGATTTATAACCATGCTTGAACTTAATAAATGGAACTGTTTTGTGAATCATCTTAGCCATTGGTATACCTGGGTCATTTATAAAGACTTTAGATCCATTTAAACTATTTTCTTTCTCAGACATCCTTGATTCAACTTTACGAGAACATCCCCTCCACATACAACATGCAAAATACATCACTGAGCTCACCAATGAACAACTCTTACAACAATTCCTCTGGTAGTCCAAACACTAGTGCTGCCAGTCCATTGGGTACGACCAGGGAGAGTACTGGGAAACTGTCTGCTCTTAGTCAGAGGTTTGGTCGCAGGCTTCTGGGATCACCTCCACCCGAGGCATCTCCGGTGCCCCTTGGTGCTCTCAAACGGGCTCTCAGCTATGGATCTTCCATCAGTAGTCCCACCAACAAACGTAAGCCTAGAAATGGCTGTTGTATGAAATTAAACTAGTAACCAGACTATTAGTCTCATTCAGTAAATGTTTGTTATTTGAGATATTTAAGAGTGGCTAGAGACTTATCATATCTTCTTGACTGAACTTAGTGCCATATGGTTGAACCTTGTAATTTATGGGAGATGGGCACCTGGAGGTGATGTCAATAATAGGAATATTCACTTTTTAAATATTTTTTAGCCATATCTCTTTAAATATTGCTGTACTCTGCTTAATATTGACATTCAATGGGAAGAATAGGCACATTTTGATTGAAATCCAATGTCTAGTTTTCAGTTTAGGGATCATGCATTGAACAGAATGACCAAGAAAATTGTGAATAATCAAAACTATAAACAAAAGTGTTCTTCACTAAAATCATAAAACTGAATCACATGCATTATGATACATGTAAATTCTGTGGTTCATCTGTGCTACTGTACTTAGTACTTCATTTCATTAAGAAATTTCGTTTTGAGTAGTATTGACTAATTAATGATTTAAGTTATTTTGACTGTTTCTTGTCAACAGAACCAAAGTTAATGTCTTTCCTGAAGAAAAGCAAATTGGAAGCACCAGAGGTTCCTTGCAGTGTTGAGGACACGCCAGTTACTCTTCTTTCTATGAATATTGAGGGCATCCAGCCTCTTCTAAATGAGTCAGACTTGGAAAGAAGGACAAATGGTATTCAGGAAGAGACTGTAAAAGAAGTTCAAAACACTGGGGTGAATAGTAACGAAAATTGTGTTAATTTTGTAGATAATGAAATGAGTGATGACTCGGCTGTTGCTTGCCTGGAAACTATGGGCAAATTAAATAACTCTTGCGACAAGGATACTCAAGACCATAATGATTCATCTGATATTTCTATAATTAATGAAAATCATTTAACCTATGATTCTGATCACCATAAACTTAATAACAACAGTGAGTCAGAAGCAAGATCTACTTCCTATATTACAAGTGTGGATTCAAAAAAAATTGGTTTGAAGAAAAGTTTTTCACAGTTTTCTCGGTCACTGTCTTTACCAACATCTTCAAGCAGTAAAAAGGCTCACAATGCAACAAATGAGTTCTTGACCAGTTTGCTTGCCAAAAAATCTCAGTTTAGTGTAGGAAAAAGATTTCTTGGTGAAGATAAAACCTTATCAAATGGGGACACTAATGGTAATATTCAAACAGAGTCCTCTTACAATGATAAAGTTGAGGAAGTGGAGACAGTAGTTGAAGACTTATCTTTAATGGATAACAAAGTTTTTGAAAATAATGAGGGAAAGTTTCCTAATGGGAATAACTCTCAAAGAGTAATACTGTGTGAAGGTTATGATGAAAGTGAATATACAGAGAATAGGAGGTCAAAGCAAGTTTGCTTCTGTTTAGAAACATTGAGGGAAAGAATCACATCTTCAAAACAAACAGATACAAACAAAGATATTATACGCAAGTTTCATGCCTCAATAACACCAACAGACAACAGTACTGCTGAAGATGAGCTCAGGAAAGAGATTTCAAAAGATATGTTTGCAAAGGTACGTATACTGTATCAGATATGATATATGTTTCCTAACATGAGCTTGGAACTCAGATTCTAACAAGATAGCTTTATGCTTATTGCCAACACATGTTTGGGACACAAGAAAATTATAATTGTGTGTATACTGTAGATATGATATGCAGTATCATTCATATGATTAGTAGAGTAAATATCCCATCCCAAGGCAGTATGTGAGAAGTAGAATTTCTATAGTTAGTTATTTTAATGCTACAAGTACATTCCATAAATTTCATAGTTACTGATTCTTATACAGTGGACCCCCGGTTAACGATATTTTTTCACTCCAGAAGTATGTTCAGGTGCCAGTACTGACCGAATTTGTTCCCATAAGGAATATTGTGAAGTAGATTAGTCCATTTCAGACCCCCAAACATACACGTCCAAACGCACTTACATAAATACACTTACATAATTGGTTGCATTCGGAGGTAATCGTTATGCGGGGGTCCACTGTATTCTCTGTAGAGAGTAAGTTGAAAATTTTCTGCAACTTAATTCCATAATTAACTTCCATTCCGATTAACAAAGTGGAGCCTCATGTAGATAGATACTGTCAGATATAATAAGTTAATACATCTAGTTACAAGGAACACAGCAGGTTTGATTATTAACTGTTTTATTGTTTCTTGTGTGTGACAAGTAGTATGGAATATTTTTGCATGACAAGCTTTTTAAAAAACTGAAAATTGGTATTTGATGCTAATTGCTGAATGATATATAAATTTTTATGGATATCATGTCTTATAGAACTATTCAAAATTAATGTACAGTGGAACCTCGGCTTACGAATGCTCTACCTTGCGAACTTTTCAGGATACGAACCGTCATTCGGTCGATTTTTTTTGCTTCTGGATACGAACGAAATTTCAGGATGTGTACTTCCTCCTCAAGGGAGGTTCCTTTAAATAAATAAATAAAATATTTATTTTTCTTGCAAAGGTTACAATGTGTATTTGCATATCATAATATGACTGGAGCAAAGAAAGCCACTATCATGCCAAGGCATTTTGGCCAGACTTAACTTAATACTTATGGACTACTTAAGTCTAGACAGGTGAAGAGTGGTAGTGGTTACCAATGTTTTGCTGATGGTGGCACCAACTACTGGCAGCCTTTTGAAGTTTCTCCTTACTGTTCTTATTGTTATTACTATTTTTTTTTTTTCAACAAGTCGGCCGTCTCCCACCGAGGCAGGGTGACCCAAAAAAGAAAGAAAATCCCCAAAAAGAAAATACTTTCATCATCATTCAACACTTTCACCACACTCACACATTATCACTGTTTTTGCAGAAGTGCTCAGAATACAACAGTCTAGAAGCATACACATATAAAGATACACAACATATCCCTCCAAACTGCCAATATCCCAAACCCCTCCTTTAAAGTGCAGGCATTGTACTTCCCATTTCCAGGACTCAAGTCCGACTATATGAAAATAACCGGTTTCCCTGAATCCCTTCACTAAATATTACCCTGCTCACACTCCAACAGATCGTCAGGTCCCAAGTACCATTCGTCTCCATTCACTCCTATCTAACACGCTCACGCACGCTTGCTGGAAGTCCAAGCCCCTTACCCACAAAACCTCCTTTACCCCCTCTCTCCAACCCTTTCGAGGACGACCCCTACCCCGCCTTCCTTCCCCTATTACTATTATATTGTATTATTATTATTATTATTGTTTTAATAATTATTATTTTTAGTACAGTAGTAGTAGTAGTAGTAGTACGTACGTGGTGAGGGGCTCTTGATCTAGGGAGTTTGATCTGTGTTCCAGTTCCCTAAATTAAGCCTGAATACATTCCATCTCCTCCCCCACAAGTGCTTCCCCATTATTATAATAATAATAGTAATAATAATATATAATAATAATTATAATAATAGATAGCTTCGAAAGGCCATCACTAGATGGCAGTGAATATCACAGCAATGCGGGGGGAGCGGGTTATGGCCACCTCCACTCGTCATATTATGGCCTATTTTGTTCATTCTAGAGTATATATCATGTTTCTATGTTATTTATATTGTTTATTATGCCATGTTAGATCAATTATGATAGCTAAATAAGCCGTCGAGTTTTCATATTAGCATTATATTGAAGTGTATTTTTCCTGCCTCTGAAAGCAGGAATTCCGCCAGAACGGATTAATGGCTTTTCAGTTAATTTAAATGAGGAAAACTAACTCAGCATACTAACAAATCAGGATACGAAGAAGGTCACAGAACGGATTAAGTTCGTAAGCAGAGGTTCCACTATATTTATATATTTTTTTATCCTGCTGTAGTACACCTACCATCCGACTTACAACCTGCTCGACTTACGACCACTCGACTTACGACCGTGTTTTTTTTTTGCCCAATTTCTCGGAAATAAACAACTATTTGTGTTGTACACAGTGTTTATCCTAAACCTTACAGTATAAAATACAGTACTAACAGCATAAAAAGTAAAGTAAAACATGAAATACCAAAATAAAACAATAAAATAAAGTCATTACAAAAATGTGATGTTCTCGGAACCGAACTCGGTCGTAAGTCGGAGGGTAGGTGTATTTACCATATACATATTTTTATTTATGAATATTTAACATATTTGTCTCCTCCCTTTCAGATGAAAATTTTAGGCCAGTTCAATTTAGGCTTCATTATTGTGTGCCTTGGGTCAGACCTTTTCATAATTGACCAGCATGCCACAGATGAGAAGTATAACTTTGAAACACTTCAACAAACTTGTACTCTTCAAAATCAACGACTTATCATTCCTCAGACTCTTGAGCTGACTGCAGTGAATGAGTCAATCTTGCTTGATAATATTGAGATCTTCAAGAAGAATGGGTTTGAATTTAAGGTGGATGAGGAAAAGCCAGTTGGACGCAGGATCTCTTTAGTATCAATGCCTTTCAGCCGTGGATGGGAATTTGGAAGGGAAGACATTGAGGAGCTTATTTTCATGCTCTCAGATGCACCTGGCATCATGTGCCGGCCATCACGTGTGAGGGCAATGTTTGCTTCAAGAGCATGTCGGCAGTCGGTAATGATCGGTACTGCACTAACACACTCACAAATGAAAAAGCTTGTCTGCCATATGGGTGAAATTGAGCAACCATGGAACTGCCCACATGGACGACCAACAATGAGGCATCTTATCAACCTTGACATAATAGCAGCCCCAAGATGATAAACTGGAAGCTTTCCTAGAAATTGTAATTCCTGTAATTATTTGTTATATAAGCATAATTGCTTCTTGCATTAAATATGTTTTGGATCTAAATTCATAGTTTCAATAGGCTATTTGGAAAGAAGCACTTTTATTTCAGTTCATTGCATTAAACTTTTTTTTTTTTTTTTTTTTTTTTTTTTTTTTTTTTTTATTATTATTATTATTATCACACTGGCCGATTTCCACCAAGGCAGGGTGGCCCGAAAAAGAAAAACTCACCATCATTCACTCCATCACTGTCTTGCCAGAAGGGTGCTTTACACTACAGTTTTTAAACTGCAACATTAACACCCCTCCTTCAGAGTGTAGGCACTGTACTTCCCATCTCCAGGACTCAAGTCCGGCCTGCCGGTTTCCCTGAACCCCTTCATAAATGTTACTTTGCTCACACTCCAACAGCATGTCAAGTATTAAAAACCATTTGTCTCCATTCACTCCTATCAAACACGCTCACACATGCCTGCTGGAAGTCCAAGCCCCTCGCACACAAAACCTCCTTTACCCCCTCCCTCCAACCTTTCCTACCCCGCCTTCCTTCCACTACAGACTGATACACTCTTGAAGTCACTCTGTTTCGCTCCATTCTCTCTACATGTCCGACCCACCTCAACAACCCTTCCTCAGCCCTCTGGACAACAGTTTTGGTAATCCCACACCTCCTCCTAACTTCCAAACTACGAATTCTCTGCATTATATTCACACCACACATTGCCCTCAGACATGACATCTCCACTGCCTCCAGCCTTCTCCTCACTGCAACATTCATCACCCATGCTTCACACCCATATAAGAGCGTTGGTAAAACTATACTCTCATACATTCCCTTCTTTGCCTCCAAGGACAAAGTTCTTTGTCTCCACAGACTCCTAAGTGCACCACTCACCCTTTTCCCCTCATCAATTCTATGATTTACCTCATCTTTCATAGACCCATCTGCTGACACATCCACTCCCAAATATCTGAATACATTCACCTCCTCCATACTCTCTCCCTCTAATCTGATATCCAATCTTTCATCACCTAATCTTTTTGTTATTCTCATAACCTTACTCTTTCCTGTATTCACTTTTAATTTTCTTCTTTTGCACACCCTACCAAATTCATCCACCAATCTCTGCAACTTCTCTTCAGAATCTCCCAAGAGCACAGTGTCATCAGCAAAGAGCAACTGTGACAACTCCCACTTTATGTGTGATTCTTTATCTTTTAACTCCACACCTCTTGCCAAGACCCTCGCATTTACTTCTCTTACAACCCCATCTATAAATATATTAAACAACCACGGTGACATCACACATCCTTGTCTAAGGCCTACTTTTACTGGGAAATAATCTCCCTCTTTCCTACATACTCTAACTTGAGCCTCACTATCCTCATAAAAACTCTTCACTGCTTTCAGTAACCTACCTCCTACACCATACACCTGCAACATCTGCCACATTGCCCCCCTATCCACCCTGTCATACGCCTTTTCCAAATCCATAAATGCCACAAAGACCTCTTTAGCCTTATCTAAATACTGTTCACTTATATGTTTCACTGTAAACACCTGGTCCACACACCCCCTACCTTTCCTAAAGCCTCCTTGTTCATCTGCTATCCTATTCTCTGTCTTACTCTTAATTCTTTCAATAATAACTCTACCATACACTTTACCAGGTATACTCAACAGACTTATCCCCCTATAATTTTTGCACTCTCTTTGTCCCCTTTGCCTTTATACAAAGGAACTATGCATGCTCTCTGCCAATCCCTAGGTACCTTACCCTCTTCCATACATTTATTAAATAATTGCACCAACCACTCCAAAACTATATCCCCACCTGCTTTTAACATTTCTATCTTTATCCCATCAATCCCGGCTGCCTTACCCCCTTTCATTTTACCTACTCCCTCACGAACTTCCCCCACACTCACAACTGGCTCTTCCTCACTCCTACAAGATGTTATTCCTCCTTGCCCTATACATGAAATCACAGCGTCCCTATCTTCATCAACATGTAACAATTCCTCAAAATATTCCCTCCATCTTCCCAATACCTCTAACTCTCCATTTAATAACTCTCCTCTCCTATTTTTAACTGATAAATCCATTTGTTCTCTAGGCTTCCTTAACTTGTTAATCTCACTCCAAAACTTTTTCTTATTTTCAACAAAAATTTGTTGATAACATTTCACCCACTCTCTCATTTGCTCTCTTTTTACATTGCTTCACCACTCTCTTAACCTCTCTCTTTTTCTCCATATACTCTTCCCTCCTTGCATCACTTCTACTTTGTAAAAACTTCTCATATGCTAACTTTTTCTCCCTTACTACTCTCTTTACATCATCATTCCACCAGTCGCTCCTCTTCCCTCCTGCACCCACTTTCCTGTAACCACAAACTTCTGCTGAACACTCTAACACTACATTTTTAAACCTACCCCATACCTCTTTGACCCCATTGCCTATGCTCTCATTAGCCCATCTATCCTCCAATAGCTGTTTATATCTTACCCTAACTGCCTCCTCTTTTAGTTTATAAACCTTCACCTCTCTCTTCCTGATGCTTCTATTCTCCTTGTATCCCATCTACCTTTTACTCTCAGTGTAGCTACAACTAGAAAGTGATCTGATATATCTGTGGCCCCTCTATAAACATGTACATCCTGAAGTCTACTCAACAGTCTTTTATCTAACCAATACATAATCCAACAAACTACTGTCATTTTGCCCTACATCATATCTTGTATACTTATTTATCCTCTTTTTCTTAAAATATGTATTACCTATAACTAAACCCCTTTCTATACAAAGTTCAATCAAAGGGTTCCCATTATCATTTACACCTGGCACCCCAAACTTACCTACCACACCCTCTCTAAAAGTTTCTCCTACTTTAGCATTCAGATCCCCTACCACAATGACTCTCTCAGTTGGTTCAAAGGCTCCTATACATTCACTTAACATCTCCCAAAATCCCTCTCTCTCCTCTACATTCCTCTCTTCTCCAGGTGCATACACACTTATTATGACCCACTTTTCGCATCCAACCTTTACTTTAATCCACATAATTCTTGAATTTACACATTCATATTCTCTTTTCTCCTTCCATAACTGATCCTTCAACATTACTGCTACCCCTTCCTTTGCATTAAACATGGTAGATAAAAATTACTACTGGCAGTTGCAGACAAATTTAGTTGTTAATTAATAGTATGTTATAATTTAAGATAATTTTGATTAAATATATTAATAGTGCATGAAAGTATTTAAGGGAATTAATATGTCTATACATTTGTGGTAACAAAATTATGTAATTCATGTAACTGATATATTTTGATACAAAATAAATGTTTCTCATTTTCTTTCTGAATTTTTTTTTTTTTAACATGTCAGCCATTTCCCACTGAAACAGGGTGACCCAAAAAGAAAGAAAAAACTTTCATCATCATTCAACACTTTCACCATCACTCATATATAATCACTGTCTTTGCAAAGGCGCTCAGATACGACAGTTCAGATGTCCCTCCAAGCTGCCAACATCCCAAACCCCTCCTTTACAGTGTAGGCATTGTACTTCCCATTTCCAGGACTCAAGTCCAGCTAACTGGTTTTCCTGAATCCTTTCACAAAATATTACCCTGCTTACACTCCAACAGCTCATCAGGTCCCAAAAACCATTCGTCTCCATTCACTCCTATCTAACACACTCACTCATGCTTGCTGGAAGTCCAAGTCCCTCGCCCACAAAACCTCTTTTACCCCCTCCCTCCAACCTTTTCAGGGATGACCCCCTACCCCACCTTCCTGACCCTACTGATTTATACGCTCTCCAAGTCATTCTACTTTGTTCCATTCTCACTAAATGACCAAACCACCTCAACAGCCCCTCTTCCTGAATACATGGCAAAATTTGCTCTGCATAATTCTGTACAGTATATTATTTTGTTTGTGAAGATATCTGTAATGAGTACCTTGTATTATATGAAGGTATATCTGATGTAATGTGCTGCATTTAAAGAATGTGTACAATTGTATTTATTAATGTTTGTAAAGTATTTTATTAGAAATAAAATTTTTTATGAAGATTTTTAATTGCTTTTCAATTACCTGGCTTTGCTTTGACATAAACTAGAATAGAACAGCAGCTCTTAGTCTGCAATGAAACTAAAAATGGCATATTGAAAATGATATATTGTTAACCAAAGGTGACATTGCACAGACATCCGGAATTATAAAAGTAATAGCAAATACCATCAGCTCATCAGCAAATCCCCTCAAGGAAGGTTCCTTGACGTTGCTGAGGGGCTCTTGATCTAGGGACCCCTCAAGGAAGGTTCCTTGATGTTGGTGAGGGGCTCTTGATTTAGGGAATTGGATCTGTGCTCCAGTTACCCGAATTAAGCCTGAATGCCTTCCACATCCCCCCCCAGGCGCTGTATAATCCTCCGGGTTTAGCGCTACCCCTTGTTTATAATAATAATAATTGATCTAGGGAATTGGAGCTGTGCTCCAGTTCCCCGAATTAAGCCTGAATACCTTCCACATCCTCCCCACCCAGGCGCTGTATAATCCTACGGGTTTAGTGCTTCCCTTTGATTATAATAATAATAATCATCAGCAAATACCTCAGCACTTTCCTGTCAATATAATAATCCAGGTAACTGCATTATCAGGTATGGTACATCTGTAAAGTATACATTTAGGTGATAAAATTGAAAGGTTTCCTCTCAAAACCCAATAATAATATACAACACTGAAGTCATCACTGTGGAGTAATTTTACCTTCATGGGAGCTAGGTGTTATAATGCTAGTAAAGGGCTCAAGATTTTCCTTGGATTATCTGTGACAGATTAATGTCACACATAAGAAAAAGACCTTGGAGCAAAGCAGTGTGGGTTCCTGCACAGTTTGGAGAGCTATTGGAAAACTTTAATGTCAAAGATAGACTTCTGAAATAAGTCAAAGGATATCTAAGCAATGGAGGCACCTCAGTCATGTAACAAGTTATCAAGCGAATGGTGTAGATTGTATTACCCTTGTTGTGGAAGAGAATAATGGCTCCTATGTAAAGAGTTGGACTTTCTCCCTCCAAGCCTAATTGCTTGCTGTACACTTTGCACTCGTATGCTTTCATATGTCCAATCTTGTTTTGAAACACTAAACCCCAAGAAGGGTGACTTAACATTTTTATGTTAAAAACCAGGTGCAGGTATAGTAAAATTATAAGTTGTGGAGTCAGAGTACTATAGAATTGATAAATTGACAACAATGTATGTCTTCAAGAGGAAGTGCAGCGCTGTATGACCCTTGTGGGTCTAGCGCTTAGGTTTGATTTTTTTTTTCAATGAATCGGCCATGTCTCACCGAGGCAGGGTGGCCCCAAAAAAATAACGCAAGTTTCTCTTTTTAAATTTAGTAATGTGTACAGGAGAAGAGGTTACTAGCCCCTTGCTCCTGACATTTTAGTCGCCTCTTAGTACACGCATGGTTTACGAAGGAAGAATTTTCCATGTCACCATGGAGATAAGATTATTATTATTATAATAAAAAAGAAGCGCTAAGCCACAAGGGCTATACAGCCATGGAGATAAGAGGAAATAAAAAACAAGAACTATTAAGAAAACTCAGGTGGGTGTGTATATATATGCATGTACATGCATGTGTAATATGACATAAGTGTAAGTAGAAGTAGCAAGATATACCTATTATGCTGCATGTTTATGAGACAAAAAAAGACACCAGCAATCCTGCTATCATGTAAAACAATTACAGATTTCCGACTCACACTCACTTGGCAGGACGGTAGTACCTTCCTGGTAGTAGTAGGCTAATCTAGGCAGTAGGCTGCCCAACAGCCTACTACCTAGATTAGGTTTGATTATAATAATAATCAAGGAGGATGTCAGTTATAACTGGGTTGCTCACTAAAAATCTGAGAGTAATAATAAGAATAAAACTATCGGAGTTTTATAAACTCAAGACTCACTGAGACTGAGACTGGTTAATTTATGTTATCTTTACATTCCCTTCACAGGAGGTGCCTTGATGTCATCTTCAATATGTATATGATACTTTTAGCGATATATTGAAAGGACAAATCAATGGCGCACTAATTCCATTTTACATATTTAAGAATTCCTACAAATATTTTATCAGATCCCAAGGACTGATGCCACTTTAATCAAGCCACCCATGGAAATAAATCACTTTGACTTCTTTTGGACTATCCTAGGTAATTTAAACAAATATTTTACGTACTATGTAAGACAACTGTAGTCATCCAAAATTACGTAAACCTTATTAATAATGTCTTTAGTGACTGATATTATGTAATTTATTTTCCCAACTACTACTACAAATAATAATAATACCACTACTACTACTACTACTGAACGAGTTACAGCAATTAGTGTAGTGTCTTCATTATGCACCACATAGCCATGGTATGGCAGTAATCAAAGGGTACAGAGGCACATAATTCCACTGACTGTGGCCCAAATGTTTTAATATGGAAGTAACTTACAGAGCTAAAGAACCACACTACTTACAGGTTTATCATTCATCTCATAACACTCATCATGAGTTGTTTGAGTAGACATGAATTCAATTGGACACAAAATATTAGTGTAGTTCTTTATATGATTATAAGTATGTAATTTACATTATTGAATATTTTAATAGTTGTATGACCCTTGTGGGTTTAGCACTTAGTTTTGATTGTTGTAATAACAATAATATTTTAACAGGGTATGACTGCATTTAGGCAAGTTTAATTGGCTATGAGATATTTACAATAGGGAGAAGTAAAAATAATTCTCCAGAATGGGTGGTACCATGCTACTATGGATAAAATACACTGTACTTTGACATTTCTTAATAATAATAATAATAATATAATATAATATCTTTATTTCTACAAGTTTTCATGTACAAGTTATACAGGCCTAGCTGACATCAATGACATATGTGCTACTATATAGAAAGCCCCTTGTTATGCTGAGCATTTCGGGCAAATTAGGTCAGTTTTGTCCCAGGATGTGACCCACACCAGTCGACTAACTCCCAGGTTCCCATTTTACTGATGGAGAACACAGACAACTGGTGACACAGACAGACAGACAGGGAAGCAGCCCAGCCACCGTGGAGAGAAGACGTCGTCGTTCCTGCTCTTCAGCTGAGCAACTCTGAACACTGTTACTCGCGATTTTTCTTGGGTTATCCTGAATAGTTCTTCACCAGATCTGAGAGGAAACTTGCTTGTAGTCACTTCGAGCACCATCCCATCAAGAGGGTAAGGCGGTGACTTGCTTGCTTGTTCACCCCTCTCTTCCCCATCCTTCCCCTTCCTCCCCTCACCCAAACATCTACACTGGCCCACACACTAACACACTACATACATTGCTATCCTTCTGACTTTCCTATCTTCTTCTTTTTCGGCAGCTTCGCTTTGGCGAGTTAACACAAGGCATTTTGACCATCCGGTAGCCCGTGTGGTTTTTTAAAATCTGGCCGATCTTTGCCTTGGGCCCTGTGTCCCCCTCACCACTCGAGGGTAGGCTATCTTAGGGGCTGACCTTCATAAGTCAGCTGAAATAGGATGCTAGAATAACACTAAGGAAAGACCCTTTTTGTTAAAGTAACTTCTCTGCCAGATGTTCCTTACTAGGCATCATGGCGAGGATAGGGGCATAGGATAAACATTTGAGAGCGAGTCGTCTCTAAAAGAATAAAGAATAAATATCTTATTTCTTTGTAAAGGTTAGAATGTGTAATTACAGTTTTGGTTTGCTAAGTACAAAGAAAGCCACTATCATGCCAGGGCATTTCAGGCAGAATGCGTAGTTCATCTGAAATCATGTATAGTTATGTATATGTCTGCTGGTGGTATTTACATGTATAATTTATTTAGTAATAAAGTTAACGGAAACAATATTTTTAAGGAAAGAAAAACTTAAGACAGCAGTCACTCTGTCACTCTGTATGACTTTTTTTACTTTATCCTAGGTTCTCTGTATGACTTTTTTTATGTTATCCTAGGTTCTCTATACATATGCTGCTATGTATGATAATCTATGTAACTGTATTTGTGTATACCTGAATAAACGTATTAGTCGAAATTTGAACCTCCCGCCACATTAGTGTCCATTATATTAGTAATATACAGAAAATAAATACCGCAAGATTAATAATGCAAAAGTAAATTGCTTTGTACCTGATACTTTATTTTGTATATCAATTTTAAGATACATTAAAATGTAAACCTATTAGGTATTAATTGCCAAAGTTATATTATTTAAGAGAGGTTGGCGTAGCAGCCTTTCTGGTGGGTCTCGTACACGAGGTGAGTTTACCAGGGGTGATGACAATATTTATGTTATTTTACCATCTAAGTTGGCCAGTATTAGGAGTAACGTGAACACTTGAGTACATTGAAAGCATTGCGGTGAGTCTGATCCTAGAAAGGCAAGTATAAAATGAGGGTTGAAGGGAGAAAAGTGTTGGTAAACAAGAATGACCATGTGTGGGACACTACTGACGCGGGTCTAGGTGGTACGTATTTTTTTTTTTTTTTTTTTTTTTTTTTTTTTTGTAACTACAAGCAGGGAGGTGAAGATCCAAGAGGTAAGTGTTAACAGGATGAGAAGATGAAAGGACTTCCGAGTTGCTCAGTGTGTGATAAGTAGTTTTATTTTCCCACACTAGAGGCAGTGTTGCTGCCGTCCTCGGTTCACACCAACTCATCTCAATCTTAAACACTTTAAATCTGGTAGATTTTTCCCATTTTATTTCAGTTTTTAGTGACTATTTAATCTAAATGAGTAATACTTTTTTTTGTCATGCCACTAGAGGATTAGTGCAGTAGGTCTGGCCTACATGGACCCTAATGGAAATAAGTCACTTTGACTTTTTTGGTTATCCTGGGTAATTTACACAATATGCAAAATAACCAGTGAAAATATTAAGATTACATTATTTAGTTTATATGTGGAATTATTTTCCTTTCCAGTGTTTAGAGCTTTGCATTTGTCTCTATTAAACTGCATCTGCCACTTTTCCGACCACTGCATCAGTCTATTCAAATCTTCCTGGAGTGCTCTAATGTCCTCGTCAGAATGAATTCGACGGCCTGGTTTGGTGTCATCGGCAAACTTGCTTGTGTCGCTATTTATTCCCTCCTCTGTCATTTATGTAGATTGTGTTCAAGGTGCAGTATATGCACAAAGGGGTTTATATACAACATTAAAGTTCCTTCTCTGCAGGTATACTGTATTTTTTTCAATATTAATGGGCTGAGGGACTGCCACAAATTCCATCTCATCTTCCACAGCTCTTTGTACTGGACTGATAGTCACTGACTGCCAGAACATTTCTACAAAAATGCCCAAATGTTGCATAGGTGTTTCATTCATCTACTTCCTGGGTTTTTCTAAACTGTATGTACTTAGCAGATTTTTCTAAGCCAACCCATCACAGCCTTGGAAGATGCCCACTGCATAGACGAAATGTCAGTAAAGGATCTCGCCACACTGTCTGTATACATTATGTTTGTATTTTGTACCATTTCTGTCATCCTTGTTTGCCCAGCTGCCCAAGCTGGGCCTGATGGCAAAAGCTCTCGCTTTACGCAGTGAGGATCCAGATTGGACGTGTTTCCTTGCACCAGTTGTCTATGTTCACCCATCAGTAAAATTGGTACCTGGGTGTTAGTCTACTGGTTTGGGTCGCATCCTGGGACAAAACTGACCTAATTTGCCCGATATGCTCAGCATAATAAGCAGCTTTCTATATAGTAGTATGTCATTGATGTCATCTAGGCCTGTATTATCTTGTACATGTACTTGTAATAAATAAAGTCATTATAATATTATTACTCGGCAGATTCTCTCTTGTACAACTTTTGAAACAAATACTTCCTTATATCCTTTTTAAATCTTAATTTATTCAAATTAAATCCATTGTTTTGGGCTAAGGTTATAGACTACTTGGGAGAACTTGCAATTTCATACAGCCTCTAATATATCAGAGCCAATCAACACTTAGTACATAGTGAGGTGTCGTGCATTACCTGAATTTAAACGAAGACATGCCAGACCGATGGCTGAGATTAGATAGTTGTATTAAGTTATTTAAGGTGAGACCTTATTTAGGAAAGTTTGGTTGTTTTCTATCATTTGCACAACAAAATACTATCAGTATCTTACAGCTCAAGGTACAGTTAATGGCCTAGATTGGTAGTGGTGGTCTTGCACAATTGCTTATACCTAGTATAGGCCTAGTGGCCTATGTTAGGTAGGTCCAAGTCACACCCACTCCAGTGTACCTGGCTAACTTATTCTTAAAGTTGCCCAAGGTTTTTGCTTCAGTGATACTACTAGTGTATGTTCCACTCAACCTTAACTCTGTTACCAAATCAGTGCTTTCCTATATCCTTTCCAACTTCAACCCAGTCAGTACCTGATCAACTGACTGTCATTCATACATTGGGCTGCATGTGGCCATCAGTAACAGCCTGGTTGATCAGGCCCTGATCCACCCGGAGACCTGGTCAAGGACTGGGACGGTGGGGTGTTGACTCCCAAAACACCCTCCAGGTAGATGCCAGGCAGGTAGTGCTGCATGCTGCAAGTCATGTCTGGGTTAGATATTTTATCATTAATAACACTTGATTGTTTCCATTAATAATGCTTGTATCCCCCTAATTATACACCTTTCTAGGAACTTTACATTTATCTACATTAAACTGCATTTGCCACTTCTTTGACTGTCGGCTTGTCCAGATTTGTATATACATCATAAGTGCTTGGATAGGGACACTGCCTACCAGTAGTTGCACTTCACTAATAGGTGGGAGTGTGCAGTGATCGGTAAGTTATTATTGCCTTTTATTTTTGTTGTAAAAAAAAAAAATTCAGAAGTAATTTCCACTTGTAAGGTACACAAATATTTAAAGGGCTGGGGTTACCAGGAATGAGGGATACTTGTAATATCTTTATTTCTACAAGTACATGTACATGCTATACAGGCCTAGCTGATGTCTGTGACATACTGCTATATAGAAAGCCCCTTTATTATGCTGAGCATTTCGGGCAAATTAGGTCAGTTTTGTCCCAGGATGCGACCCACACCAGTCAACTAACACCCAGGTACCCATTTTATACTGACTGGTGAACATAGACAGCAGGTGTCTTATGGAAACACGTCATAATGTTTTCCAGCCGTACTGGAGATTCAAACTCCAGACCTCAGTGTGTGAGCTGAGTGCGTTAGTGATCAAGCTATGGGACACCCTGTAGTAACCAAAATACATGTACAGGTTGAATATCTTCTAACCAGAGTTCTAAAAGCTCCAAAATCCAAAGCTTTTTTTTTTTTTTTTTTTTTTTTTTTTTTTTTTTTTTTTTTTTTTTTTTTTTTTTTTTTTTTTTTTTTTTTTAGCCGATATCTCTCGTACCCAAGGTGGGGCTCTGAAGCTTCGAAAAGTTCTGAAATGAAACGCTTTCAATCTTGAGCATTATGGATAAGGGATGCTCAAACTGTAGTTCTATCCATTATTTATACTGTGTATATTTTACATCCTTGATAATTATTTTCTATTTCCTTGTCAGATGGCAGATTTTGAGGATGGAGGTGAGGAGGTTGCAAGCCTCCAGGCACCAGTGGTTGAGGCCCCAGAGTTGCCTGAAATAAAACTTTTTGGAAAATGGTCATTGGATGATGTTCAACTGAGTGATATGTCTCTTCAGGTGAGCTGCATTTGTTGGAGTGTTAAGGCTGCAAATTGTACAGGGAGTTAATTAATTATTATTTTAAATCATAATTACAGTGCAGTATTTTTTTTTGTTTGTGCATGTAAAAATGTGATGTACAGGAAGTGTTTAATATTTAGTTGAAAGTTTGCAGATATTATAAATAAGTTTTCTATTAATTTGAACTGGATTTGGAGCCATTTGTATTTTAAAGCTTTTGAAGTTGGATTTATTCATTAACCAAAGAAGTTTATATTTTCTCAGACATTTTTGCACTGAGTTATGGACATGAATAATTACTTCTGTCTATTCCAGGATTATATTGCTGTTAAGAAATATTATGCCAAGTACTTGCCTCACTCGTCTGGTAGATATGCAGCCAAAAGATTCCGCAAAGCCCAGTGTCCTATTGTAGAACGTCTGACAAATTCTTTAATGATGCATGGGCGCAATAATGGCAAGAAACTCCTGGCTGTCCGCATTGTGAAACACTCTTTTGAGATCATCCATCTTCTGACTGGTGAGGTAAGTAACCTATTGATCGTTGAATATTGCATGCTTGGTAAAACTGCTCCAGAATAGTGTAACTTGGTTTAAGTGTGATGAATATTATAATAGATAATACAGTGGACCCCCAGTTCGCGATGCTATCGGTATCCGATAAATCCGGTAACCGATGCATTATATCGCAGAAAATTTGCCTCGCTTCCCGATACAAAACCCGGTATGCGATGTGGTTCGTACGAGACGTGTCCATGTGTGGCCTGAACTGCCCCGTGTGTGCCAGTGTTTACAAGCCAGCCAGTGTGCGCGCATCTAAGGATACATTCGGTACATTCCATATTATCCATATTATCACTGTTTTTGGTGCCTGTTTTTGCAAAGTAAGTCACCATGGGCCCCAAGAAAGCTCCCAGTGCCAGCCCTTTGAGACCAAGGGTGCTAATGACTGTTGAAATGAAGAAAGAGATAATTGCAAAGTACGAAAGTGGAGTGTGTGTGTGTCGGAGCTGGTCAGGTTGTATAGTAAACCCCAATCAACCATCTCTACTATAGTGAGCAAGAAAACGGCAATCAAGGAAGCTGTTCTTGCAAAAGGTGCAACTGTGATTACGAAACAGCGACCGCAAGTGTTAGAAAATGTTGACTGTTATTGGTGTGGATAAATGAAAAACAGATGCAGGAGATAGCATCTCTCAAGCAATCATTTGTGAAAAGGCTAGGCAGTTGCATGACGATTTGGTAAAAAAATTGCCTGCAACTAGTGGTGATGTGAGTGAATTTAAGGCCAGCAAAGGTTGGTTTGAAAGATTTAAGAATCGTAGTGGCATACATAGTGTGATTAGGCATGGTGAGGCTGCCAGTTATGTTGTGCGACAGAAGTCCAGTGACACTCAAGCTGGTCCTAGTGGCATTAAAAGAAGGGAAGTAACCCCGGAAAAGGGCTTGCTACCTCAAGTCCTAATGGAGGGGGATTCCCCTTCTAAATGCTAACACCATCCACACTCCCCTCCCTCCCATCCCATCAATCATCACCAGATCTTCATTAAAGGTAAGTGTCAATTATTCTTTCGTTATTTATTGTTATTGTTGTTATTGTAATTACTATTCTATTGCATTAACCTTAATATTTCATGTGGTAAAATTTTTTTTTTCATACTTTTGGGTGTTCTTGCACGGATTAATTTGATTTCCATTATTTCTTATGAGGAAAATTGATTCGCTTTCCGATATTTTTGGTTTACGATGAGCTCTCAGGAACAGATTAGTATCGCGAACCGGGGGTCCACTGTAATTGAATGTTGGTCCTTGTCAGAACTCATTATTTTGTTTTAAATAAGTTTAATATATATTTTTTTTTTAACTCGTCGTCCGTTTCCCACCAAGGCGGGGTGACCCAAAAAGAAAAAGAAACTTTAATCATTCAACACTTTCACCATCACTCATAATCACTGTCTTTACAGAGGTGCTCAGATTCGACAGTTTAGATGTCACTCCAAACAGCCAATATCCCAAACCCCTCCTTTAAAGTGCAGGCATTGTAATTCCCACTTCCAGAACAAGTCCAGCTAACCAGTTTCCCTGAATCCCTTCACAAAATATTACCCTGATATTACTATAATTATACAGTACTAGTGTGTACCTGTACCAAAATAAGCTTACAAACTGTGCAGGCATACAGATACATAATAAAATCACTAAGTGTCTTACTAGCGTTGAAGACCCTATAATATAATAATCACTCTGGGGAGGCTTTAAATATATTAACCCTTTCAGGGTTTCCAACGTACTAGTACGGCTTGCGCACCAGGGTTATTGACGTACTAGTACACACAAATTCCAGCACCTTCAAATCTAGCAAGAGAAAGCTGGTAGGCCTACATATGAAAGAATGGGGCTGTGGTCAGCGTGCACAGTATAAAAAAAATCCTGCAGCACACAGTGCGTATTGAGAAAAAAAAAACTAGGACAGTGTTTTTGGTTTAAAACGGCGACTTTGCACTATATTTTCTTATGGTATTTATGGTTGTATTCTAGTTTTCCTGGGCTCATTTTATAGAACGGAAGACATATTACAGAAATTGAGATGATTTTGATTGGTTTCACAATGAAAAGTACCTTGAAATTGAGCTCAAAGTAGCAGAAATGTTTGATTTTTGCCAAAGTTCAAAAGTAAACGAATCATGCCACACGTCCAATACACATCAACTGGTGAGTCTAATGTTCTTTCACAAGTGCGCTGATATTATTTATACCATTTCTACAGTAATGCAGTAGTCTGCATAAGTCAATCTTCTATTTTTTGTGAGAATAAAAATTCAAAGTGGAAAGCAAAAGAAATGTAAGAGGGGCCTGGGGACGTGACTAATGAACAGAGGAAATGTTATTTTGGTTCCAGGAATGTGTCTAGTTTATTCTGGACCCTATTTGGAAATTGGCATCTTTTGAGATTTGTGTGAAATTGGCAAAATTGCTAATTTCTCACCACTTTATTGGATAGTTGAAATCAGTAAAGGGTGGTTTCTTGTACTCATTCAGTAGAAAAAATGGAGTTCTAGTGAAAGTTATGATTTTTTGTCGACTAATACACTGGAATTGGTCGAAAATAGGTCTCAAATTGGGCAAAATCGCCGATGTGTAAACATCGTTGAGACACTAACTTCGCAAGAGCATAATTCCGTAAGTTTTCCATCAAATTTCATACTTTTGATGTCATGATTGGAAAAAGATTCTATATCTTTTCATAAGACGACAACACCCCCCCCCCCAAACATCAACCTTGAGAACAAGTTTAGGAGAGGGCCTCTCAACCCTGAAAGGATTATTAGATGTTTTTATTAATATCTATTTTTTATATATATATAAGAAACACATTACATAACATTAACATAATACATACACCTACAGTAGAGCAAATTGACACCTGACGTGATTGCTGGGCGGCTTGCAAAAGTGACAGAAAAACTAAAGTTTTTCTCTAGTCCAACACCAGAGAAAATGTGTACAAAATAGTATTCCTTTCATAGGCCTCCACTCAAAGCCTCATTCGCTCTAAAAATGGTGTTACACAACAAGGGGAGTGTTGCTGTTTAGTCTACTGCACCAGCATGAAGACAATTTGTACACAATGTAAGTCGTTTGTATCGTGTAAAAGTTTGACATGCAAAATGAACGTACATGAACCGTAAGCGGACAAGAATTAATACACATTAGTGTCTGCATTCTCCACACGTCTCTCTCATTTACGATAGCATCTAAGGGTAGTTGTTAGAAATAATTAAACGCGGTGAACAAGGTATGTCAATGGTGGTAATACTAATAATAATCACTCTGGTGTGTTTCACATATCATATTTCATGTAGGTGTGTTAGCTGGGCGAGCTACCACACGTTTCTACAATAAAAGGTAAGTATTGAGTGTACTGTATTTTTTTAATGCCTAGTTCTGTTACTAACTTAATATATTGATAGTGTAAACATGTTATGAAGCATTTATAAGTGGAAAAAGTGTGATTCACTTTATGGTGGTAGCCTGGACTTAACCCGCTGTATAAGAGGCCCTCCTGTATTTAGGCTTGACAAGATTGTTTTAACAAACAAAAATTATAACGTACCATAGCACCAGTGAGTGCTGTAATACACAAGAAAATACAGACTTGGAGTTGGAACACACAACTGTAAGCTATATAGGACAGTACAATAAACATTCACACCAACTATTTCATTTCAGTGTCGGTCAGCCAACTAAGCCAAAATAACATGCTGATTAGGAGAATGTGCTTCTTTAAGGAGATTATTACATTGACTTGTGAAACTACTATACTCTAATCGTAAAATGTTATCTTGGCCATATAAAATTTTACATACATTAGAGGTTGTTTGCACTTGTTAATAGCCACTATAGTATTTTGCTATTGTGGTGTCTGAATTGTGCTAGATAAATAATAGAGGATTCGCTAACACCACAAGGGTTTTTCTAATCCAGTGAGTGGGGTTTGATAGTACCCTCTAGACATTACTTCCGTAAATGTAATTTTTGTACATAAAATTTATAAAAGTATTGCATTTATATATTTTTATATTTATACAAGCTTGTAATCATATACAGTGGAACACTGCAAGTTTTAACATAGATTCCTATGATATTCAGAAATTTAGTTTTGGTTCTCAGTGATAAATTTTAGGGGAAGAAAATAGTTTCATGGAAAAAGGTGGCAAGTGTAGTTCATATCTATTCAACACTCATTCTTGACACATTAGTGCTTGTTTTATCAAGAACTAACATGCAAATTATACGAGGCAAAATATCCCATAAAATAAATTTTGTATTCTCTGCCGAGTCAGATGAACCAATTTGAACTCATTTTGTCACTCATTGCGCTTTACCATGCACTAGCATATACACAAGACTTTTGGCTATATTATTATAATTTTGAAGAAAATGCATTAATCCCTAAACAGCTGATCGTATAAATTTATGGCACCTGGACAGTGCCATAGCCATAGATTTGCACAATTTCCAAAATGATTGATTGGCTTGGGTAGGTCTACACCAGGAAAAAGTTTGCTTCGTAAGCATGTGCAGTATAAGTGTTGTACACAGGTTGTTGCAGGAGAAAGTAGGCGCCATTACAGTTGTTTGCAAGTAAACGCATTTTGCCATTTAATTTATTGAACAATAAATATAAGTTAACTTTTTTTTTTTTCAACAAGTCGGCCATCTCCCACCGAGGCAGGGTGACCCAACAAGAAAAAAAATACTTTTATCACTCAGCACTTTCATCTCACTCGCCATAATCACTGTTTTTGCAGAGGTGCCCAGAATACAACAGTTTAGAAGTCTTTCTTTCAACACACCGGCCATATCCCACCGAGGCGGGGTGGCCCAAAAGGAAAAACGAAAGTTTCTCCTTTTACATTTAGTAATATATACAGGAGAAGGGGTTACTAGCCCCTTGCTCCTGGCATTTTAGTCGCCTCTTACAACACGCATGGCTTACAGAGGAAGAATTCTGGTCCACTTCCCCATGGAGGTAAGAGGAAATAAACAAGAACAAGAACTAGAAAGAAAATAGAAGAAAACCCAGAGGGGTGCATGTATATATGCTTGTACATGTATGTGAAGTGTGACCTAAGTAGAAGTAGCAAGACGTACCTGAAATCTTGCATGTGTATGAGACAGAATAAAAAGACACCAGCAATCCTACCATCATGTAAAACATGACTCAAGAAATCGTAATGACACGATTGCAAATAAACCATACCCCCGGGTTCAATCCCGGCCGGGGGTATGGTTTATCATGTAAAACAATCGATTATCAAATGGTATACAATACCGACAGGTTGGTAGATAAGAGACACAGGCAACATTTAGGCAACTTTATTCCGAAACGTTTCGTCTACGCAGTAGGCTTCTTCAGTCGAGTATAGAAAGTAGGCAGGAGCAGTAGAGATGTGAAGACAATGTAATCAGTCCATCACCCTTGAAATCGTAGATTTGAGGTTGTCAGTCCCTCAGCCTGGAGAAGTTCTGTTCCAAAGTCTGGAACTAACTGAAGATCAAGCGACAGTGTTGAGACTTAAATACTGTCGGAAGGAGAGGTGCAGAGTAGTAGTAGTGAGAATGTAGCCACTGGGAGGTCATGTCCCTCTCAGATCAAACAATTCTCACTTGAAAAAGTTCTCCAGGCTGAGGGACTGACAACCTCAAATCTACGACTTCAAGGGTGATGGACTGATTACATCGTCTTCACATCTCTACTACTCCTGCCTACTTTCTGCACTCGACTGAAGAAGCCTACTGTGTAGGCGAAACGTTTCGGAATAAAGTTGCCTAAATGTTGCCTATGTGTCTTATCTACCATGTAAAACAATTATAGGCTTTCATTTTACACTCAGGACGGTAGTACCTCCCTGGGCGATTGCTGTCTACCAACCTACTACCTAGGAGTTTAGAAGTATATACGTATAAAAATACACAATATATCCCTCCAAACTGCCAGTATCCCAAACCCCTCCTTTAGAGTGCAGGCATTGTACTTCCCATTATCAGGACTCAAGTCTGGTTATATAAAATAACCGGTTTCCCTGAATCCCTTCACTAAATATTACCTTGCTCACACTCCAACAGCTCATCAGGTCCCAAATACCATTAGTCTCCATTCACTCCTATCTAACACGCTCACACACGCTTGCTGGGAGTCTAAACCCTTCGCCCACAACACCACCTTTACCCCCTCCCTCCAACCTTTTCGAGGACGACCCCTACCCCGCCTTCCTTTCCCTACAGATATATACGCTCTCCATGTCATTCTACTTTGAAAACATTGGTGTAAAACACTCCATAAAAAAAAAAAAAGTGGGAAAATGCATTAATGTTCATGTGCAGCACCTAGTTGCCTTTGTGCTGTAAGCATGCTTTTTGCCATAAGGTGATCACTGGCATTGCCTTCATATCTCCTTAATTACTACTTAGATGTCACTCATTCTTTCATTACTTCTAAATTCAGGGAGAACTTTTTGGTAAGGCAGAATAATTTGTCTAAATTGCCAGAACTGAAGGCACTTATTTTAAACCCACCAGCAGTTTAAGGGTTAAAAGATCTTAACTAAGGATGAGATTCTACCACAATTTTTGCCAATAGAGATACAGTGGAACCTCGGTATACCACCAGCTCCCTACTCGAACAAAGCTCGGCACTTGACCAGACAAATATTACCTGCCAGAACTTCGCTGCAAACTATTTCGTGTTTCTTTGCATTTTTTGGTGTTTTTTGTATTTGTATAAATGTCACCATGGGGCCTATGACGGTTAGTGATAGCAGCCAACCAAACAGATAATTGGTTGGGAAGAACTTGTTCGATACTCAAACGGTGTGGCACTTGAACGGCCTTCTGGAATGAATTAAGGTCGCATACCAAGGTTCTGCTGTACTTAGTTATAGGCAGATATAGGTACTTTCAGAATTAGCCGAGACCCACCAATACAGATACTTTGACACATCCTTGCTTTAAACAGGCAATGCCATTTTCATTTTGTTCAAATGGCTGATTGGCAGTGACCATGGCAACTATTTCATATACAGGGGTTCCTTGAGTTAACATCATTCCAGATACATTTTACCTCAAAACTCATAACTCAACTCAAACCCCAGAATATGTGGTTTTTACAGTAATTTGTTTCAAGACACAGGAAGTACAATTTTTACTGTACCTTGAACTTGAAAAGTTGGCTCTTAACCCTTTGAGGGTCGACAGGCCCTCTCCGAAACTCGTTCTCAGGGTCGGCCAAATTTAAAAAAAAAAAAAAAATTCTCTTATGAAAAGATAGAGAATCTTTTCCCTATCATAAGGACACCAAAAGTGTGAAATTTGATGGAAAACTTACGGAATTATGCTCTCGCCAAGTTAGCAGTCTTGGCGATTTTTACGCATCGGCGATTTTGCCCACTTTGAGCCCCATTTTCGGCCAATTCCACAGTACTAGTCGACAAAAAACATGAATATTTCGCTAGAACTCCATTTTTTCTATCGAATGGGTGCAAGAAACCACCCATTTATGAAATTCAACTATCCAGTACAGTGGTCAGAATTTAACAATTTTGCCAATTTCACACAAATTTCAAAAGATGCCAATTTCCGAATAGGGTCCAGAATAAACAAGAAAGACATTCCTGGCACTAAAATGACATTTCCTCTGGTCATTAGTCACGTCTCAAGGCCCCTCTTATATTCTTTTGCTATCCACTTTGAATTTTTATTCTCACAAAAAATAAGATTTACTATTATGCAGACTACTGCATTAGTGTAAAAAATGGTATAAATATTATTGGTGCACTTGTAAAAGAATATTAGACTCACCAGTTGACATGTATTGCACGCTTGGCACGATTTGTTTACTTTTGAAATTTGGTAAAAATAGAACATTTCTGCTACTTTGAGCTCAATTTCAAGGTACCTTTCATTATAAAACCAGTCAAAATCATCTCAATTTCTGTAATATGTCTTCCATTCTATAAAATGAGACCAAGAAAACTAGAATACAACAATAAATACCATACGAAAATACAGTGCAAAGTCTGTTTTATTCCAAAAAAAATTGTCAGTTTTTTTTTTTTCTCATTATGCACTGTGTGCTGCAGGATTTTTTTTAGACTGTGCACACTGACCACATAGACCCATTCTTTCATATGAAGGCCTACCAGCTTTCTCCCACTAGATTTGAGGGCGCTAGAATTTAGGCGTACTAGTACGTCAAAAACCCTGGGTCGTAAGCCGTACTAGTACGTCCGAAACCCTCAAAGGGTTAAGATAAAACATTATCTTCAAAAACACAGGAAGCAAGTTTGCTTTTTCCAACGTGGATGCTTTGATTCTCATCACATCTTCCCAGTGAGTAAACAGCTGATTTTCTGCTGTTATCCTATGGTCATCCTCCATTTCCTCCCCACTGTCCAAATTCCGGGAGACCCCACTCCCCCCTCCCCCATTAACATCCATCCCCATTGTTTTGCCAAGAGCAACAATCTCTTGGTTTACATCCTCCTCAGTCATAAAAATTTTAGTCATAGGTGACTGAAGGCTACAGGTGTTTTCAGGCTGCATTGAGACAGTGGAAACTTCATTCCAGGAATTCACCATGAGCCGCCTCACTCAATGTAAAATGTTAAACTTGGTCGTCCTGAATTCCTTAAAGCTGATGGTTCCATTCCCTTAAAATCTCTGTAAAGCGTTTGGCAAACATCTTCGTTTAAAGCATGAAAATTTGCAGTCATTTGCTGGTTCATAGGCTGAAGTGTAGTAGCAGTTTTGGGAACACGTAGTTTATCAAATTTTTCGTCATGATTACTAAATTCCTTTGAGGGTAAGTTGTAAGCATTGTACCTACTGTTGCACAAGTGATGTAGCTACCATCTCTATAACCTATCAAAATGGAATACTGTGCATTTGCCAATGTTTGTATATTTAGTAATTCCATCACTGGAGAATGCTGCATGTTAGTATTTAGAGGAAATGTGTGTTAAACATGTTTGTGTAGACATTGGTCGAGCTGCTATGGGAATGGAAGGTGAGTCATACAAAGGCTCCAGTGCAAGATACATTAATTAGGTATCTTCCTACAGCAATTAACAACATTTTTAGAAAATCTGTATCTTGAATTTCATTGGGAAATGCTTGCAGTATAGTACGTATTTTCATGGCCTTGGGGGGGGGGGGCTGTTTCAGCTACCACCATAGCCACAGCTACCAAGATGTTTTATTTTATTGAACTGTTTCTTTCATTAACAAAGATTACGAAGTGTAATTATGACACTACAGTCATAAGCTTTGTGTACATGCTTGTGAATGGTGAAACACGTAATTGTTTCCTGAAATATGTTAGTATGTGTTTCTGATGATGCCAAAAATTCCTCCAAAATTCTGAGATGCTTTTAAGGAATGTTATTCATGCCCATATTTTTCTTTAAAAAAAGTTCTTATATTCATGCTTGGCATTGTGGGACAAAGCAAAACTTTAGATAGCTGAACTTTTGGTGTTCCACTGTATTCCTGTGTGTTATTATATACTTTTAATATCAAAATATTTTTAAAAGACGAAATATTATTAATTTTATGCAGAACTTTATATTGGATTATATTGGATATAGTTTTGTATGATTTAAAAATACTTTGATAATATTGAAAAAATGCTATTTTTAATTCTTAACCTATTGACCTGATTGTGGTGAGATTTTGTACGTTAGATAACTTGGTGTAAAATGAATTAGTAACTTCCAAAAATTAGTATGAATGCCCTTTTAAATTTTCATTCTGCAAAGATTTTTTTTTTTTTTTCAGAACCCAGTACAAGTAGTAGTAAATGCCATTATCAACTCTGGCCCACGTGAGGATTCAACCCGTATTGGCCGTGCCGGTACTGTGAGGAGGCAGGCTGTGGATGTCTCCCCTCTTCGACGTGTTAACCAGGCAAGTGTTGAATTATGAGAATTTTCATTAAACTCTTGAATGGGTGGGGGTTGGGGAAGGTGTTGGCTGTTTTCTTAAGTCCAATAATTGCAGTTTTCCTATCTTAACTGGGATCATAAAAAACACGTTATGTAATAATTCTCTAAAATCGTGCTGATTTGTAGTATGTTTTGTTAGTAATTAATGTAATTCATAGTAGTTGACATTGCTTTGGATATTGTTTAGGGAAAATATAAATTTTCCAAAAGTTTTAAGTAATGGATTTTGTACAGTGCTTTTAGGTCGAGTATTTCACAAATAACCCACGCTTTTAAACAGCTGAGTTTTTTTTTAACCCCTTAGCTGTGGCAAGTGGGCAAAAAATTTCTGGTGTGGCAAGATTTTGAGAAAAAAATTTTTTTAGTTTGATATGGGGCATTTTTCTGAATTGAATAAGGCTAAAAAAAAAGGGGGGGGGGGATAGTTGATTAAAATAAAACTTAGGGTTTTATTGTGTGTTGAAGTTGGGAATAAATGATTGATAGATCACTTTTCAGCAACAGTGGCATAAAAGTGCTAGTGATATTTACATTTTACAATTATTGATGCCAAGATACAATTGTTATTAGTTTTTGTTTAATTACTTATAATGTTTAACACTGTGTACACATTGACTACTAGGTTATCCTGGGTTAAATATACCTAGTGTGATTTATTGCTGAATTCCACTGTTAGGATCCAAAAATTGTAATAAATTTGAACTGAATGAATCATCTTTGAGCCACTTGCACACCCTGTTTGCTGGTAAGGAAGCTGGTGGTGAGACAACAGCTCCTGGTTCCTTTGTTTACTTTTGCTAGTAATATATTTACATGTACAAGGTGTACAGGGCTAGCTGACATCAATGACATACTATTATATAGAAAGCCGCTTGTTATGCAAAGCGTTTCAGGCAAATTAGGTCAGTTTTGTCCCTGGATGTGACCCACACCAGTCGACTAACACCCAGGTACCCATTTTATTGATAGGTGAACATAGACAACTGGTATAAGGAAATGCATCCAATATTTCCACCCCTTCGCCGGGAATTCAACCCGGACCCTCACCGTGTGAAGCGAGAGCTTTTGCCACCAGGCCACGGGGCACCAAGTACTAGTACGTTGGACACTGTTATTGATACCCTAAGTAGTTAACCCATGATAAGTTATGTGCAGCCTGCTTAGCCTTAGATTTTTCAAATGAATGAATAGATGGATGACCCAAAGCATAGTGCTGAGGTCAAAAATATTGGCAGGTGACAGATTTGTGGGTACAAAAGATTGTGCGTACTAGTATGTTGGACACGGTTAAAGGGTTAAAAATGTAAATTGAATAATTAAATTCTTTATGAATTATTTTAATTTTTTTGTGAAAATTGAACCTTTTCTATGTACTATTAAGTTAAGTATTTAGCTTAGCTTTAGAATATTTTTATTTTTGCACCTGTTAGAGCCATGACAGCATGCTGCTGCTGTGGTGTCGGAAAGTGTGCTAGAATAATTCGAAGGATTCGCTAACACTACTCAGGCTTGTTCCACAATGAGTGGGGTTTGATAGTAGCCTTTGAACACTAATTTTGAAGCAAAAATTCTTTATTACCTTCTGTATCATTGTGCTTTAATTATATAAATTTTTAGGCCATTTGGCTTCTGACTACCGGTGCTCGTGAAGCTGCTTTCCGCAACATCAAGACTATTGCCGAGTGCCTTGCTGACGAGTTGATCAATGCTGCAAAGGTATGTGAGACTGCAGTTTAACCCTTTCTGGGTCAGAAGTGCTGATCTGAGAATTACTCTCAATGTTGAATTTATAAAAAAAAAAAAAATTACAGAATTAGTTTATTTTTGTGGGTGTAAGAAAAAAAAATTCCATCAGTACTTACTGAGATAGAGGCGTGAAGTTGGCATCAAATGACTAGCTGGTGGTAACATCAGTGACTGCTGCACACTCTGTATTAGGTTTTTTTTTTTTTTTTTTTTTTTTGTGTGTGTGTGTGTGTGTGTGTGACTTTTGTGGCCTGTAAGACCAATATAATGCACACTGTATATACTATATGCAACACAGTAACTGCACTGATATTAACAAAGGCACAATACCGTGACTGGAACAATACATAAATGACCTGCATATAGGTGAGAGGAGCTTATGAAGAAGTTTCGGTCTGACTTGGACCATTTACAAAGTCACTTGTTTACACACAGGTAGAAATGTTCCTTATTACTAATGTTCCATCATATATATATATACATTCATTCTTTCAACACACCAGCCATATTCCACTGAGGTGGGGAGGCCCCAAAGGAAAAACGAAAGTTTCTCCTTTTAAATTTAGTAATATATACAGGAGAAGGGGTTACTTGCCCCTTGCTCCCGGCATTTTAGTCACCTCTTACGACACACATGGGCTTATGGAGGAAAAATTCTGTTCCACTTCCCCATGGAGATATATATATATATCTTTCTTCTTTCAACGCACCAGCCATATCCCACTGAGGTGGGGTGGCCCAAAAGGAAAAACGAAAGTTTCGCCTTTTAAATTTAGTAATATATACAGGAGAAGGGGTTACTTGCCCCTTGCTCCCGGCATTTTAATCGTCTCTTACGACACACATGGTTTACGGAGGAAGAATTCTGTTCCACTTCCCCATGGAGATATATACATCATTCTTTCAACACACCGGCCGTATCCCACCAAGGCGGGGTGGCCCAAAAGGAAAAACAAAAGATATATGTACACTTATTGGACATGTTCCTAGAACTGCTGCAGTTTGTGGAATTCTTTGAAACATGGTGTGCACAGTGATGTTTTGCACTCCTCGCACATAAAATGAGTATGTTCATATTTTTGGGCATTTTGTTGTGTGCTCACATACAAAACATCTCTTCTGAGCCCGTTACTTATTAAGAGGAGGAAGTGTTACTAAGTGATCACTGTGCCTTAAACGAGAGGGTATTTGGTGATCAATTTGTGGGTGGTTTTGTATTGCAGGTGGTGTGTCCTGGTACTTCAATAATTGTCTGATGACAAAATTCGGCATACAGTTGTCTGTTTCTGGTCTTTATCTTGTACATGTTGTAAGCATCGACCATGGAAAAAAGTTCTAAGTACCACTTATGACTAGTGACCACAATCGACAAACCCAATTTGCATGTGACATTCATCCACTAAACACATATTGAGGGTGTAGTCAATCACAGTTGCAGGTTTTACAATGAGTACATTGGTCTCTATTGTGCCTGCCACTGTCTTTCGTTTTGGTGAATTGATGTCAACAAAGTGACATCTCGTTTGTCATGCCACTATAATGCCATGATATTGGCAGCAAACCCCTGCACCTCACCACTAGGAGTGCCTGCATTAAACCTGGGCACATGCTTACGATTTGCACGCACTGTACCACACATCTGTCATGTTTACTCGCAAGAAATCACTGAGTAAGGGGCTTGTGTACTAGTTATCAGTGTATGACGTATGCTTCATAGCAAGATCCATCGTTGTTCTAACCATATCACCCGAGATACCCAATGCTGTTTGAATGACAGTACCTTTGAAGAGAATCAAAGATGCATTATTAACAAGCTTCCTGAAGGGATAAAAATATGTACTGAATTTTTGCTTCATATTCATACACATTCCTAATCTTGTATAATCTGTCATTTCTGTTAAAAGTGTAGCATGTGTAAGAGTAGGACAGATCTGTTCACTGGCATAACAACAATGAAGGCTGGGGTTGAAATTAGGCAGTCTGTCGACCAGTATGATTTGATACTGTGCTTTTACACATGACATGAGCATTATTGTGGCAAGGAACAAATGTATCTCAGCCACAGTTGTCTCATTTAAGTTGTGTAATCATGATTTTGGTGAAACAAGTGTTTGCCATGATATATTCAGAGTATCTGTTGCTTTCCCTGATAATAATTTCCAAAAAAAATAGTTCAAAACATTCCAGTTCACTGGCATTGTTCCCAAGGGTACAAGATAACCAGATTCCACTTTGAGTGTCATAAAATTGATGGATTGGCAACAAAATTGGCACCCTGCTGCCAGTCCCGGATATGGTCTGCTGGCGAGTACTGGTTATTGATAGCTGGTTGTTGTGTGTTGGTGCTTAAGGCTGGCCTTGGTCATGGACGTGGTGAGTCAGTGGTGTGGTTCCCAGCCTGGGGTGCTGCTGGTGCTGCATCCCACGTAGCACCACCACCACTTATTGCCGCATGTGGTATATTATCCATCCCAGTTGTAGCAATATCATCCTCACATTGTCTGTTCCTGGTGTAGGGCCGTGGGATGTACTGTCCCCTTGGAATAGCATATGGCACACTACCAGACTGCATT